AAAAAACCAAAACAAAACTGGTGTGACATGGCTTAAAAAAAACCAAAACAAAACTGGTGTGACATAATAGGTACAAAAATTTGCTTGCTACGAACTTGCAAAGATACTGGGGATATTGGTCCCTGTGTGCTGCGTAAAGCCCTTGGGTTTAAAAATGAAGTGGCTATGAAATACCCTGTTAAGCTTAGATATTTAGCTTTTCTTTGATTGTTTTGTTTAAGACTGTTTATTTGGCCTTTTCATGCATGTATCGTTTGGAATAATTGTGGTTTATATGTAGTGTAAATAACATGATGGAAACTTATCTCGGATTCCACTGGTTTCTCGTCCCTGATGGCCTGCACTTTCCCCACTTGTTCTTCTCATCCTCTCTTCAGCTTCTCAGATTTTTTGGGTGAGTTGTTTGATACACAGGCTACAGCACAGAATGTTATCAGTAAAACAAAATAATACTTGGAGATTAAACAGATAAATTCCACTCATGTACTTCTGGTAGAGATGTTCCTAAAGGTGTAACAGTTGCATCTTCGTCCTTGTATTGCCAGAAGATACTACTTTAATATTAATTTAATAATATTTTCTGTGATGAATTTAAAAAGTCTTTCTTTTTTCATATAATTTCATCCTTTAAGTCAGCCTTCTGGTCATGTTGTTGCCTGTAATCCGTCATTCCTTATGCACTCAAGAGTGGTGTTGTGTTTTATTGTGGAAGAAATTTTTCTACTTGAGCAAATTCCAAGCAAACTTTTACAGTTCTTTGTAGAGCATCCCTAATGCAGAGCTGATGTTAATAGACTTTTAGGGATTACCTCTGTTTCTTTCAAGTTTTTTCCCCCGAAGTTAAACACTGTCTTTCCTGTCATGTAGCATTTCTTGGTTTGTGATGTACTATCTGGAGAACCTATAAATTATGCTTGTAATAAACATGAAGGGAACCTGTTCCCTGAGAGCTGTAATGTTCCTGGACTGAGATCTTGCAAGTAACCAAGTGGCCATCACCTTTGACATCAGAAATGGACAGGTTTGACAGCTGGACACTAGTTGGTCTGACTTTTGGAAGGATGTATATATTGTGGCCTGTAAAATACCAAAGGTTGGAGGTCAGTTCTGAAGGTTGATGTAGAAGAAATGCTATTACTTCAAAAAGTCATGGAGTGTGTGGACCAAAAATACCCCCAGAAAATGTATTACCGAACAACAACAAATTTACTTTCTCTGTTTTTGCTTTTTGTTGAGAGTCTTTATTTCTGGCAGCAAGAGTCATATTTGGAATGATTCAGTTGGTTCAGAAAGTTGCTTTCATCAGTAAATATTTCAGCTCAGCATTGAGAATGGGTGTTTGTCAGTATGTTCTAATCAACAGGGGATATTTACCTAATATATTCGGCACTCTCCGACTGATTTCTTGTAAGAGCTCTAAAGTTTTTATTTTGAATCCCATTCTTGTCAGTCCTTAGGGCTGGGTATTTATTATTTTGATGGCAACCAGAACCAGAGCAGAACTTCATTTTCATGTTTCAATCTTCTCCTTAACTACAGAATAAATAATACAGCTTTTTGGATAAGTAGAAAAGTTTCTCAGGATTTTCCTTTAATTCTTTCTGTACATTCATCTGATGCTAAGGAAGAAATTATGAGACAACTCAAACTTTTTTGAGATGATAAAGTTGCAAATAATTTCTCTCTTTTTGAACTGCTTGAGGAAGAAATAAGAAATTATCTACTATTGAAGGTTAAAACTGGAAAGGACATGTCTTTTGGCAGTGTCAACTGAAACTAAGGGCATTCAAGTGTTCTCTGTTAGGCCGCTTATGGGACCTGAAGCAACTATATTTTGTCAAAACAAACAGCAATGGAGGTATTATGCAATGGCAGAAATACGTGTCAGTTTGTTTATGCAGCAGCAATATAAATTCCTGTGCTTATTGTTCTTTTTTGGGTCATCTGACCGTGTGATGGTTCGTGTCATAGTTATGATATATTTGTGCTACAATTTATATTTGCACAGAAGTAAGCAATGGAACAGGACTGTATGTACTACAATCATTTGAAGAGTGAATAAAGTTCTTTTCAGATGTACAGTTATTTTTCAGAAGATGAAGCTTATATATGCCTGAGATAAGAAAATGTATATTAATACTATACAGTGATTTTTACATTGAGAAAGGATGATGAAACAGCATCGTGTAGTCTTTACTGCTTTCTTTATCGTGTTCAAGACTTGTGGTAGAGACTGGAAAAAATATAGAATGTTCCATGTCAGTCCGATGGCCTTTGGGAATTGTGTAATATCAATGCTTGTGAATTTTGATGTTGGGATTTTAAGTTTTTTTTTTTAATGATTTTTTTTTGAAAAGGGGAAAAGAAACCTACAAAGAAAATAAGTTCATATCAAGCTCTCTTGCAAATGCTTTCATAGAATGGTTTAGGTTGGAAGGGGCCTTAAATGCTTTCATAGAATCATAGAATGGTTTAGGTTGGAAGGGACTTTAAAGATCATCTAATTTCAACCCCTATTTTACTAATAGACTTTGACTCTATTAGTACTTCTAGTTGTTTCTGTGGTACTTGAAGAACTCTAACTTTGGAACCATATTCAAGTTTCCCTAAGCTTGTATTGGAGCCAAAGTGATGTCTGCCCTCAATTGCCTGGGAGTCTTGGAGCTCCCATGGGTGGGATGTTGAAGGCACAGGAATAGTTCGGACGCGAAGGACCGTTCTGCAGGGAACGCTCAGAATAGAGGCAATTTTTCCATCAGCTCCTGTGAAGCTTGAAGTAGGTTTTTCCTTTCTTGGTTTACCTTGCGCTCAGGAACCTTTTGTAGTTTTATTTATTTAAAAGTTGCAGTAGCTATATTTATAAGCCAGGTTGTTTTAATAAGTGTATTTCCAGGGATTTTTACTTGGAAATGACCTTGGTTTTGTTTCTTTTTTCTTTGTTTTTTTTCTTTTTTTTGTTTAGGATGCAAATGAAATACTGCAGTGAAATATTTATAAGAACTTAGTTATTAGTATGTTAAAGAAATCAAATTTGGTTTTAGCAATTAGAAAAGGAAAAGAAATTAAGGCTTTTTTGCAGTCATTTGCTGATTAATTAGGGGGACTACAGTGAATCTCTTTTCCAGTGAGCAGGTTTTTATTTAGGAAGAGGGATTAGGGAGATGGATTCTGCATCTGTGATGGTGATATTACTGTCTTTTTCGTAGCAACCTTTAAAAGCCTAATACATTAGTAAATCCAAAGGAGATCACTGTAGGTACATGTTGTGCAACAGTGGTTTTTTGTCTTTTCAGTCACATGTATGTTTTAGAATGAAATTTACCAAATTACTCTTGCAATTTGCAGACAGTGTCTTTTGCCCGTGTCTGCTTATTTTAGCTGATGTTAGAATTTGCAGATGTGCTAGTGTAATTAGTTGGTGTGTCCTTTTTTTGTGGATGTGTTTTCTGTTGCTTTGAATTTTACTGCAAAACAGCTTCATCTTAAAGCTTTTACTTGATATGCAGCTACTGTCTAGTAAACAGTTTATCTTGCAGAGTTTGGGAAATTTAGAGAAGCAGCATTTGTGGGTGCAGTGTGTGTTTCCACATGTTCTTCTTAGTTGGCTTTTCATCTTGTTCATGTTGTCTCGATCATCACCAGTTCAGCTGTACTAATCTACTGTTTATTAGTCATGACTCCTGTTTATTAGAATGTTTTCCTTATTTTAGACAATAGAGGAGACTTATTTATTTACTGGCATTTCAATGTTTTCTTATACAAGTGCTTCTGGAGTGTTCACCGACCATTGGAATGATGGATATGTATTTATTTTTGCATCCTAACTTGTATTGATGACATGGTTTTTTTTTTCCTGTTTTCTCCATAGCTCTCTTCTAAAGCGTGGAATTTCATGCTTATTATTATTAATAGTTTCTAATGTGGTTCAGATTACAACTTAAATTTTGCCAGAGTAAGTAGGTGGATAAGGTTAGGCTCAGTATTTGCTTGTAAACGTGTATAGTTGTGTCTTTTACTCTATCCAGAGTTTGCTCACTGAGTTAAAAGGCAAACTTTCTATCATGTTGAGTGTTTTTAACAGAGTGGAAATAGTTGAGGATGTCGTGGCTCTTTCAGATATTCAGTGCAATTGTGTCTTCCTGACAGAAATGGAAAAATTTAGAAATATATTCTGCAAATTTGGCTTATCAATGTGCAGTAACTGCTGTGAATTATCTCAATTCCTGTTCCCTGGATGACTTTTCACTCTGTGTACTATTTTACTTTGATTCAGTTTTAGTTGGTGAAAGCTTTATTGAATTTGAAGGGGAAGCCTTTTGAGGGTTTTGAGCCCAAGGGGTTGGCTTCTAGAAAATTCTGACTGTAATCCTCCAAGATTTCTAGCAGGACTGTGGGGAAAGGGCTGTTTCAGTTCCATTCTGTGAGATTCGAAAGTAGGTATAAATTAAATCCCTGTGTGTAGCTTAAGTAGATAAATCTCCATAACGATCTGAGTCCTCCAATGGTGAATCTTCAAGATGCTCCATTACTATGAAGGAGTAACCTGTGTATTTTGGTAGATGCCAAGTGATTGTCTCTCACAAATAAATACTGAATTGAAATTTGTTGTGTTTTGCTGGGTTTTGCCTAGCGCTCTTTCTTTTGATGTCACCCTCATTGATCATGTAAATAAAACAAACAACTTCTGGAAACAATAACAAAATCCATTACAAATAGGTTTTCCCCTTTGCTTACCAGGGGTACCCCAGTTCACATAACTGCCTTGAGAGGCAAACAAGTTCTCAGAAGTCCTGGTTAAACATCTTTTACTTTTATGTTTGACAGCGTAACGGTTTTAAGTGTTTGAAGTTAGGCCTGCTTAGCATGACTAATACAGCTGTGTGTTGGCTTTAGACATCTGAAATGAATGCTTCAAGAAATCATGTCAAGTGTTCATATGAATCTACTCTCGCTGTATCCCGATATTTGCTCTGCTTATATTTCTGTCTGGTTTATTTCAGGAATTTGCAGCACTTACAAAAGAGCTAAACGTATGCAGGGAGCAGCTGCTTGAAAGGGAAGAAGAAATCGCTGAACTGAAAGCAGAACGAAATAACACGAGGGTTAGTTCCTTGTCTTCTCCAAGATTGCAGTTCTTAAAGCAGCCAACTACGTTGAGAAAAACAATGAATGCTGAATTTGAAAAGCTAAAAGTGTTTTTTTCCCCCTGATATTTGCACATGGATCCCTCTGTGTGTTGATTAAGAAAGTTTGGAAGGTTCTGTGCAGCGATATTTGCACATTGGATCCCTCTGCAAGCACAAATAGTGATTAAGAAAGTTTGGAAGGTTCTGTGCAGCTCCAAACGCTGCTGTGCAGAATCAGGAAAAGCTTGTAGGACGGCCCTGCTGGCTGTCACTCAGCTTGCTGCTCGTTAAAAGTTTTGTAATCACACAACACCCGAGATCAGCGGAATAAAGCGGCCAAACTGTAGGGATCTGTTCCAGCAGCTCAGCTGCTGCCAGCAAAAGAGTTGCTCTCCCGTTTAGAGCATTTCCTCTGTGTGTCCTTCTGACAAGCGGGAGGTTCCTCAGATTGGTGGTAGAACTGAAAAAACCTGTAGAAACCTCATTTAAAAGCTAAACTCAACAAGAGAGGTAGGAAATGGGTTACCTCTGATAGCTCTTGTAATGGGTGAAATGATAAAAACAGATTCTTACACTTCATGTAACAGTCGTGTGGTCTCAGATTTGAAATTTAGAACTCAGTGCTTTAGGAGGCAAAGTTTTCTGCAGCTGTAAAAACAGGAATAAACGTTGTTCCTTTTTTTTTTGGTTGGTTTTAGCTGTTACTGGAACATTTGGAGTGTCTTGTCTCCAGGCACGAGCGATCTCTCAGAATGACTGTTGTGAAGAGACAAGCTCAGTCTCCAGCAGGAGTTTCTAGTGAAGTAGAAGTTCTCAAAGCACTAAAATCTTTATTTGAGCACCATAAAGCCCTTGACGAAAAGGTAAGGAAATACGGTAGCGAACATCTTCTCATCCTGTGCCCACTTCCTTCTGCGCAGATCATGCAGTTGTTGGTACTAAAGTTGTAGAAGTCAGGTCCTCAGAACTTTTTCCCTGCCCTAAGATAGTGGCTTTGCTAGAACTGCACTAGTAACTGAAGTTACTAGTGCCCTCCTGAAGTGATATGTGCTTCATTAACTGTGCTAATGTGAACTAAGTGTAGTTTAGGAACAATATATTTGTTGTAGGAATGCATACATTTGCTTACCTGCACAATATCAGGGTTTTTCATTGTGTAATATGAGAAATGGCCTAGAGAGAACAGGAGGAGAGGAATCTGCTTACGCTGTGATATTAAAGAAAGCTGAATTCAAGGCACTCCGCCCTTTCGTTGTGCCTGATGTTGGCAACAGGATGTGCAAGTGGTGAAGTTCACTGTGAATTTTGCTGCCAGCTCATCGTTTGCTTAACTTTTGTGACCCACGTGTCACAAAAAGGCTGGCAAATGAGTTTCTGTGGAATTCTGTCTCTTCTTCCTTGTTGTGACCAAGCAAAAAAACACACACTCTGTGCCTTATGACAGGATAAGCAAATTCTGGTTTTTGTAGCGTTATGTCTCATAAATGTCTCATAAATGTCATGGAAATTGTGTCATTTGCTATCTGAAATGTGGTGTCAGCATGGCAATAAGTGAAATTGATTTTTTTTTCTCGTTTGAATGATTTCAAATTATTTGACATTAACTCTTTCAGGTAAGGGAGAGGTTACGAGTAGCACTTGAAAGATGTAGCTTATTGGAAGAAGAACTAGGTACTACACATAAAGAGGTAGGTGTCTTTTTTAAAAATAAATCTTATGTGTACATTGTGGTGTTTTAGTCAATATTTGGACATGGTATTTAGTCAGTTATTTAGTATCCACTTTCACTACTTGTTTTTGATTTTTTTTTTTTTGCCAAATGGGATAACTATAATTTTTAACTTACTTTGAAAAAAATCCACAAACCCCCACCCCCTCTCCCCCAAGCCGACAGAAAACCCCAACAAAACAACAAAAAGAGTTCCTGTGGCTGTAAAATAAGGATTTTTGGGTTGCAGTGGCATAACTTTTGAAGTGCCTGTGCCATATTTTATTAATACATACCTTGCAGTAGAATCAGTAATTGTTTTGCTCCTTTGCTATTGCAGCTGTTCCTTATATTATTAGTGAGAAAGGAATTGACTTGAAACAGATGTATGTAAACTTTTCCTTTCTTTTAGTTAATGATTCTGAAAGAGCAAAATAATCAGAAGAAAACACTTCCAGATGGGATGCTGGATATAAATCATGAACAAGAAAATACCCCAACTACAAATGGGAAGGTAGAGTTACATGCTTTTTTTAAGCTGATTTCTGATTTTTAATCATTAAATATAATAATTTAATTTTAAGCTATAGTGAAAGATTTTGAGTGATGCTTTAAATTACTACAATTTCAATTTTTGCAGTCTATCCAATAAAAAAAATTATCTTGGGGGAGGGTTGTTTACAGGCAAGTAGCAGTTTGTTTTTCAAATTTCTGTGTAATATGCAAATACTTTTTCCTTTTCCCCCTGTGTAATAGCGATCCTCTGATGGTTCTTTATGCCACGATGAAAACCTTGCTAAAGTGATTGAACTCCAAGACATCATAGATAAGCAAAACAAAGAGCAGACACAGATGAAAGAACGTCTTACTGCTTTGTCTAGCAGAGTAACGGAGCTGGAAGAAGATCTTGACACAGCTAGAAAAGACTTAATAAAATCTGAAGAAATGAACACAAAGTTACAGAGAGATGTACGAGAGGTGAGGAATAAACTCTCAAAATTTGGGTAGTCACAAACGCAATTCCTTTATAAATTTCAGTGTCATTGGTGCTCAGTTGGGCCTCTAGGCTTTTGAATGTCTTTGGTTTGATAGGTGACGTGGAGCACGACAGTGAAAAGGTAAATAGCAGATCAGGGGTGTAATATAATAAAGACCAATCTTCTTAAGCATTCACCATTTTTAAAAATAAAATAAAAAAGCTAATTGAACTTGTAAGCCTAAGTGAGACTATTCTTTCTTCTTCATTTTTTTGCAGAAAGAAATGAGTATGTAAGACTCTTTTTTGTTTATGAGGTTTTTTCCCCCCAATTTGATCACTTAATCTTGTTTCTTGCATAGACTATGGCCCAAAAGGAAGACATGGAAGAGAGAATTACGACTCTTGAGAAACGCTACCTCGCTGCACAACGTGAAGCTACATCTGTGCATGACCTCAATGATAAACTTGAAAATGAAATTGCCACTAAAGACTCCATGCATCGACAGGTTGTATTTTGAAATACGATATTAAGTACATTTTGCTCAGCATAAAACTGATGGACATAATTAATGTTCATACTGTACTAAAGCTTTTACTTTTAGGAAGATAAATCTCATCTGTAATGTGCTATTGTTAGGGATTGTTTTTCAGTAACTGGAGGAGTGCATTGTACAGATTCTAACCGTGGGAATGAGGATGAGACAGTTTACAGGAAAGAGGAAATGGTTTTGAGCTTTTTAGTGTACTTGATCTTGGTGCAACTGGGCTGTTCTCCCTATTAACTGGAGATTTACGTTGCTGTATGTGTATCCAAGCATTTTTAAGTTGCTGTATGTGTAACCAAGCATCTTTAGTTTCATGTGTGAGAATTACTCATTCTAAGCCAAAACAGTTTTAAAATTTGTGAAGTTTGTAGCAATTATTATAGCCTATAAGAGAAGTAAACATTGCCTTACTGAGGAGGAAATTTGACACGTGCTTGTCCAACTTAAAACCAGAAATGGTTATTCAGCTATTCATTTTCAAATTAGAGGCAGCCAGGCAACTCTTAGTCAAAAAGAGAAGTCCCTTTTAATGTAATTTTTAAAAGAAATTGCACACACTTTAAAATAAAATTTGTGGTAATATGCATAGTGTTATTTAAAATATGAAGGAATTTTTTCCTTGATGTAACTCAACGCACAGCCTTGACACTGGAAATTCACAACTTCTTCTGAGCTGCTTCCTGTACTGTAACTATGTCTATTTGTGCTGCTTCCTGTACTGTAACTATGTCTATTTGGTGATATAGTTGCGTTCAGAATACACAAAATTTTCTGTAGGAAAAAATTTGTAGAGAAAAAAGTTCTGTCATGTCATGAAGGGGAGGATGCCACAACTTTGGTTATGAGACCACTTTTGGACAGTTTGTTCTCCGTAGGTCTAGTAAAGGCAGCAATCTGTATCCTTACCTTCCTCTTTGAAAATTAATTACCATTTTAACACTTAATATTTGCTGATCATAATCCTGTGTAGAGTGAAGATAAGAATAGGCAATTGCAAGAACGACTGGAACTCGCTGAGCAAAAGCTGCAGCAGACTTTGAGAAAAGCTGAAACTTTGCCCGAGGTGGAAGCTGAGCTGGCACAGAGAGTTGCAGCACTTTCCAAGGTGAGTCAATTGGAGGGTGTCCTCAAGACTCTGTCTTCTCCATTGGTGTCCTGCTACACAAAATCAGTTCTTAAAGTCTTGGGTTTGTTATATTGTGTTTCTGGTTTTCGTCCAGCTGGTTCAGAAACTGTTTCTCCTTGTTTTCTGTTCATCTCTACAAACGCTCTGATTTACTTTGGGTTTTTTTCTTTACATTTCTGCCCTTTGGAACTTGAGCAGGTTTTCTGTTAACTCTGTTACGTTATGGAAATGTCTCTCTGAATTATTACTTTGTTGCTTTTTATTAAAGTTCATTCAACAGTAGGCATAAAAACTTTTAAAACAAGAACTGTTTCTGGAAGGGAACCCCAAATTTCTTCCACTGTTAACTAAATGGAGAGAGAAGTAATGGTACTCATTACTATTAAGATTTTTGGAAGGTTGCGAATGGAATAATGAAGTCTGAAGAATTGTATGTAGTAACAACAACTGAGCCTTTTCGTGTGTGTGTGTGTGTGTGTGTTTTTCTTTTAAAGCCTTAGTTTCATTTCTTTCCCTGTTATCTTTCCTGTCCCTAACTGGCTCTGTGAATTATTACTTTGTTGGTTTTTATTAAAGTTCATTCAATAGTAGGCATAAAGACTTTTAAAGCCAGAACTGTTTCTGGAAGGGAAACCCAAATTTCTTCCACTGTTAACTAAATGAAGAGAAGAGAGAAGTAATGGTACTCATTAATATTAAGATTTTTGGAAGGTTGCAAATGGAATAATGAAGTCTGAAGAATTGTATGTAGTAACAACAACTGAGCCTTTTCGTGTGTGTGTGTGTGTGTGTGTTTTTCTTTTAAAGCCTTAGTTTCATTTCTTCTGTTTTTTCTTTTAAAGCCTTAGTTTCATTTCTTTCCCTGTTATCTTTCCTGTCCCTAACTGGCTCTGTAGTCTGACCTTTTGTCTCCTGGGAGCTCTGCTGCTAAAGATGCTAAAGTATTGGAACTTACCACCAAGCTTAGGAAGGTAGAATTTGTATCTTAGTCCTTGTTTCTGCTTGCTGCTTTCTGCTTTGTCATGATTACTAACAAAAGGTCATATTGTCCAGGCTAGTGAGGAAAAACTGAAAATGCACTTAGTTTTTATTTTATTTTATTATTATTTTTTAATTCTTGGGGATATGAATGAACTGCTGCTGTTGCAAGCTCACTTGCAAATAGTAGTTGATTCATGGTACTTGAGGGTGAGAGGCTTCATCATTTTGTTACCTACCATATGAACTCTCACTAGGTTCTTGTAGTGACAGAAAGGCATCTGTTCTGCATTGTGTATTACCATGAACGGCAGTTGCGCAAAGCATGTTAGATATATTATCATGCTTCAACGTTTCTATGCTTTTAAAACCTTTTTTTTTAAAAAAGCCCCACCAAATTCTAACTTCCTTTTCCAATTGACAGGCTGAGGAAAGACATGGCAATATAGAGGAACGACTGAGACAGATGGAAGCACAGCTAGAAGAAAAAAAAAAAAACTCCACCAAATTCTAATTTTCTTTTCCAATTGACAGGCTGAGGAAAGACATGGCAATATAGAGGAACGACTGAGACAGATGGAAGCACAGCTAGAAGAAAAGAATCAAGAACTACAAAGGGTACCGTATATATTATTGGCAAAGATACAAAGCTGGAAGAAAGAATCTCATTCCCTTCATGGCTGCCTACCATTCAGCAAAGCTGGTTTTATTTCTTATCTTTAAAATAAAGCCAGAGTTTAGGCTGGCTGTTAGTTGGGACATTTGAGGCCACTGTACTATGGCTAACCTTAAATCTCCTAAAAAAGCTGAAAGTCTCCAATGAAAGTTTGGAACCGCCTCATTGCTAGTTATACTTTCTAATGAGGAGACAGATCAAAAACTAGCTGAATTAAATGACTATGGAAAAATTGGTTCCTAGGTTATAAATAATGGAATTGGCTCTGAAATTTGCTTTTTCTTGAAGTGTAAGCTCAAATTTTCAAGCTTCTGATCTTGGAGCAGTTACTGAAGTTTTAAGTATCCCCTGTACTCCCTTAAAGAGCCATGGAGGTACATGCAGTATTCCTTATTCCTTTAGAAAAATATTTCCATTCTTGAAGTTTTAAGTATCCCCTATACTCCCTTAAAGAGCCATGGAGGTACATACAGTATTCCTTATTCCTTTAGAAAAATATTTCTATTAAAGAAAATGCATTTGGATTAAAGAAAGCTTACTGTTTTTACAACCTGGAAATTGTTATAGACGCTGTAAATTTTAAGTTATTTTAGTAGCTTTTCTGTATCTTAGGCTAGACAGAGAGAGAAGATGAATGAAGAGCATAATAAACGTTTGTCAGAAACCGTTGATAAGCTTCTCTCTGAATCCAATGAAAGGCTCCAGCTTCATCTCAAGGAAAGGATGGCTGCTTTGGAAGATAAGGTAACGAGTCACATTCCAGCAGATACATTAATTAGATGTTCAACACTCTGTAGTGATTTGTGTATTTTTCGATATATCTAATTTCAGCAAATAAATACGAAATCCTTTTATTAATAAGTAGTTTTTGTTAAGGCTGTTTTCTAGTGAGGATTTGGAAAATAGGTTCTTAAAATTCTTTTTATTTTTGAGGTTGCCCCTGGGCATTGTTCTACAGTGTTGAGAAGGCATCGTTTAAGAAGCTTTATCCTTTCCTAGTTGACTGGTGTGGGCTGCATAAATAGGCTCAGCCAGTGTAATACAGGAAGGCTAAAGAATTAGGACTAGAAATTTGGCCTTTTTTTCACTTCGGATTCTTTTATTTCCCACTGTTTTTTGTCTGCACGGGTTCCCCTGAGTGGTTGTGGGATTCTTGGCAAGTTGAAACAATCTTGCATTTTCTCCCCAGGTCGATCATTTTGAGGCAGGTTCTGTGTAAACGAGCTGTTCTCTGTGGTGTTGATGCACATCTTGGAGCGTTCCCCTGTATTCTATTAATCTTCTAACTTGTGACATACTTTACTCTTTCTTTCCCTTCTGCTTTTGGATGTAGGTCCTTAGGGACTTTTTCTTCCATGTGTGCCTTGAAGTTAGATTCCCTTATTCCCATTGAACAAAGCAGTGTCTTCTGAAGTAGCATTTTGCTTGATGCCACTTTGAATTGCTTTGTCTTGGAGGAAAAATGCACTTTGTTCCTGTTACTAGAGGGTGAAATGACCATCTAGGGAAATGCTTCAATGAAAGCTGAGTGGGTTTTGTTTTAAAGTCATTGCAATAAAATACTTCAATATATAATGATGTATTTAGACTTTTATTAAATGTTCGCTTTCTCTTGCATGTGTGTCAACTCAGTTCCCATCCCTAAACCAACAGTCAGGTAGCTGACATACTCCTTCCAGAATTCCAGGACCATTTCAAAGATTTAGTTTGTTCTTTTCCCTGCTTTCTGTCCTTCCAGAATTCCAGGACTGTGCTCCCATCAGATCATTACAAAGATTTAGTTTGTTCTTTTCCCTGCTTTTGTGCTCCTGAAGCTGAGGGGAATTGGGTAGTGCACGACAAATCTAGGTCCTACTGATTTTTGTCCTTTGAGCTGATGATGAAGGTGCTTGTCAGCTGGCATCTAAGGCTGCAAACTTTGTCCTGTGGTTTTTTAGTTAACAACACTATTTTCAACATAAAACTCTTCCTAATCCTACAGAAATTCTTCTTATGGGCCGTGTTATGATATCAACAAGGTTGCTTTGACAGTCTTTATAGATTCCACTTTTGAGAAACAGCTGACTGCACTTTTTTTTTAAATACTTGGATACTGGGAGGGGTGTGTATGTGTTTTACGGTTAATCCTTTACCCTTCAAACCCTAACTACCTTTGTGAATAGCAAGGAAGATGTAGTTGTCCTTCACTGTGAGTTACAACTTCTAGAAAAATATTCTGGCTGTGGCTTCCTGCTCATTCTTTTATGATAAGTTGGGAAGAAACATGCACGTAAAATTTTAAGACTTTCTTTTGCTCACTTTTTTCCCCGAATGATTTATTTGTTCACATATGAAACTTTATTACACATTTAAGATGCAAATAATGGTATAACATACCTCAAGGAAATGTGTTTAGCAGAACTTTTTGGCAATGGTGGATAAGGAAAAGGTGACAGTTAAAAGTTTCCTATTAAGAGGAGGAATCTCTGATATTTTTTTTTTCTTGGTGTCACATACTACAGTCAAATACAATAGTTGAAATTCTTTGATTGTTGTGGCTCAAATGTGTTCTAAATTCTCAGATGATTCTTAGTCTGAGTTTCGAAACTGCTTTGAGTAAAGAGATTGTGGTAGTCATAAGTATTTATATTTACTGGAGTTGTTTAAATGTCATGGTATAACTGTAAAGAGGACAGCTCTGATGTTAATGAAGACCCATAATTCACTGAGTGTTGCAGTTCCAGAGGTATAGTACATCCCAGATATTACTGTATTGTAATTTTGTAGGCCAGACAATTGAAAATAAAATGAAAACCTAATGATGACATCAAGTAATGCCTTGGTAACTGCTCACTGAATTACTTTGAATTATTTTAGCAGCCTAATTATTCTTTTTTTTTTACTAGTTTTGTCAAACAGAGCTTTAAAAGGCTGGTATTGGTATTAAATTTTTATGGAACTTATGCTGTTACTAAATCCTTTATTTAGAGGGCTGTACACCTGAAAGGAAAAACCTTCCAACTATAATCAAAGTGAAATGATGTAAGCAGTAAAGTATCTGTACCTTAAGATGCATCTGTATAGTGTTGACTGAAAGTTTTTGATACTCATCTTGTTTATGGTTTAAGAGTTGAAAGCTTTTATAAGTATATTAATTTGTGATACATTTTATTTTAGAATTCACTTATTCGAGAAATTGAAAATTCCAAAAAGCAAATAGAGGAACTTCAGCATGAAAAGGTATAAACCACATTTTTTGAAATATTATATTGGAAAATATTTGCTACATAGCAGGGTCAGATTTGAATTCCCCCATAAAATTTAACATGACCTGGTCTCTTTAAAAGTAGGGGGCTGTTACTGCTCGTTTTATGGTGCTGTGGGACTCAGTTTTATGAGGGTTTTATAGGTAATGTGTAGCTTTTTACCGAAACACTTACCACACTTCTGAATATGTGTAGTGGCTGGATAGATTGGCAATTTGCCAAAGTTTGAAGATTGCATAGAATTTTTGTAAAAAGATACATAGTTTTTTCATGTTGTTCACAATGTATGTATGACCTTGAACAGAAAAAAGAGAAATACTTTTTAATATTGGGTGTTTTCCCATAAGTGTGTCGTTGTTTTTTTGTTTTTTTTAAAAAGCATTCAGTATCTTGAAGTGCTTATTTGACTGACAAAAATAAAGTTTTCAGAACTGGGAGGCAGGGAGAGCAATATTTATGAGACTCAGCCTCTTCTTTGCAATCCCAGCTGCCTGGTGTTCTGCTTGTCCTGGAACTGACAAGTTCCCTTCTTGAATAGTGGTTCCCTTTCAATTCATTGCATCCTTAAGCAGTGGCAATTGATTTTTAATGTCATGCTATCTGTTCTGAAATAATACTTATTGTTGCTTATTAAACCCCAGGTGTACTGCATCTCCCCAAATCATTCCAGTAATTAGTGAGGCCAGACTGTAAAGGCTGTGCTTCTGTAAGGAAATGAAGAATGCATTCAGAATATTTTGCAGAATGTGCTTTGAATTTTTGCAGTTTTCACACAAGGGCACAGATGTTCATCATCAGCCACTTTTTATTAGTCTTTTTGTTGTTTACTCATTCATTGGATTTCTCTCTTGTTAAATGCTTGGTTTCTAGAGCGTGTAAAAATGTCCAAGTTAAAAGCGAATGCGTTTAGAACCTTTTGTGCACAAGGCTTGAAAAATCTTGTTTCTTATTAAATATTATCAATTACAGTAATGTTAATAATATGTGAATTTTATTTAGTAGATATTTTTAAAAAGTATGTTATTATCTATTAATCACGGTGCAGACAGGCAACAGAATTATTCTTGGATGCCCTTTTCTGACGGTGCTGTATTGTGTGTAGCAAAAATAATTTTTACATTTTATGTCATTGAAGGGCATGTTTTAAAATGTTATTTCTGAAAATTGTTATTACCTATTATCACGGTGCAGACAGGCAACAGAATTATTCTTGGATGCCCTTTTCTGACGGTGCTGTATTGTGTGTAGCAAAAATAATTTTTACATTTTATGTCATTGAAGGGCATGTTTTAAAATGTTATTTCTGAAATTCATAGAAATGGGGTAAAAAAACTAAATGGTAATTAGTTATTAAATGTTAATAAGTCAGTATTTAACACTGTTTTGCTTTTTTTTTAAAGCATATTGTTACGTATTTTATGTATTTATTTTTACAGGATCAACTTGTATTAAATGTTGAAGCATTAAGGGCTGAAAATGACCAAGTGAGACTCCGAGCCACATCACTTCATCATAGGTACCAGCACTTGATTCTAGTTTAGTGATATCTCATTTCTTTAAAGTCACTTTGCTAAATTTAATTTTGTCTATTATAACTGAAAATGCTTTATTCATAGCTATAAAACTTTATAGCTGAGCATTCTTTGTAGAGCATATAAAGCACTTTTAATACTGCTTAAAGAAAACGGGCACTGGTGAGACAATAGGAATTACTTGGGTGGGTTTTTTATGGTTTGTTTTCTCCTTCCTTCTCCCTTCCTGAGAATAAAATGTTTCTTTGTGTTCCAGCCGACCGGATTTCAGATACCCTGTGACATCCTCCTCTGTGCCTGACAGTCACACAGACTCCTATGGCACCTCCTCAGTCTTGAGGCGTCCCCAGAAAGGACGTTTGGCAGCTCTCAGAGATGAACCTTCAAAGGTAATAGAACTCTGAAATTTAAAGTAAAAATAGAACTTGGGCAAAAAAAAAATAATAGATGAGGCTAATCACACAAGCAGTTTTTAGAATAGGAGTACATAGCAATAAACTTATATATATATATCCTGTTTTACTAATTCTTGCACAGCTACTAGTCTTTTTAATTGTTAAAAAATAATTGCATGTTTATTATTTTTAAGTCCCATTTGTATTAAGTGTGATAAGCCTGTAAAATACAGTTTGAAACAACCCTACTTTTCATGTCTGTACACTAATTAATTGCCCTTCTGCAAGCAATTTTAAGTCCCTTTCATGACACAAGTTCTCATTACATAAAGATGTTTCTGGATTTGATAGCAAAATTCTACTGCAATTTTGAGTGTATATAGCCAAGATACGTGATATTTTAATTTATTCAATGGGGCTGTCCATTTTTAAATGACACTTAACTGTAAGATGCAAAGTTTCCTACATTATAGCTTTTTTTTTTTTTACATTTCTCTAAACTGCTGTCTTGATGGATGCATTCAGCACGTAAGTGGGCTTTTAAAGAATTGTTTTAAACATCTTGAAAACCAGTAGAGATGTTTTTCCCGTTTGGATTTGGATTTTAATTTGAATTAATTCTCTTAGGTTCAAACTCTGAACGAGCAGGACTGGGAGCGAGCCCAGCAGGCGAGTGTGTTGGCAAACGTGGCACAAGCATTTGAAAGTGATGTTGATGTGTCAGATGTTGAGGATGACAGGGAGACCATATTCAGTTCGGTTGATCTGCTGTCACCGAGCGGTCAGGCTGATGCTCAGACTTTGGCCATGATGCTTCAAGAACAGTTGGATGCAATCAACAAAGAGATCAGGTACGGTCTAGCTGCTGTTAAGGTTTTGCTAAAAGTGAGTTTCTGTGACGCTAGAAATTCTTTTTGTGTGGTTACTTGGAAAATGGTGGTTGCCCATTCAGTTTCCTGGTGTGGGGAGTTGACAGAAGCAACTAATATGCTTATATCTAAGTACTATTTTCTGGTTTTCTTAAGTCTCATTTATGGAAGGGATTGTGTATTACTATTTCAACAGAAACCCCTGCGTGGTGGTAATAGCAGTGCGTTCACCACTTTTTTCAGAATGGATTAGAAGATTTTTCAGTGTGGCTGTTTTGCTGCCACCTCCTAATGCCCAAGGCAGCCATTCTGTTTATATGTTACTTGTTTAAATCATAGAATGGTTTGGGTTGGAAGGGACCTTAAAGACCATCTAGTTCCAACCCCCCTGCCATGGGCAGGGACATTTCCCATCAGACCAGGTTGTTCAAAGCCCCACTGAGCCTGGACTTGAATGTTTCCAGGGAAGGGGTAGCCACAGCTTCTCTGGGCAACCTGTTCCAGTGTCTCACCACCCTCACAGTCAAGAATTTCTTTCTGATGTCTAATCTAAATCTCCTCTCAGTTTAAAACCATTGCCCCTTGTCCTACTGCTACACTCCCCATCTCTCCTATAGGCCGCAACGTCATATTCCTTTGAAACTTTTTTTCAGACTTATACAAGAAGAAAAGGAAAACACAGAGCAGCGTGCAGAGGAGATTGAAAGCAGAGTGGGTAGTGGAAATTTGGATGCTCATGGCCGATTCCGGTCCATGAGCTCCATTCCTGCTCCCTATGCCAGTGGATCTCTTGCTGGTTCCTCCCCGCCGGGCAGTGGCCGCTCCACCCCGCGGCGGATCCCCCATAGTCCAGCTCGGGAAGTGGACAGACTCGGTATCATGACACTGGTAAGTATCTATTAACTTTAATTTTTTTTTTTGGAAGAGTGTTCTTTTTCTCTAGGAAATGGGTTGTTTGATTTTTCCCCTTCCTCTCCTTCTTACTCAGCTGTATTTTTCCTTTCTCTAGGTTTTTCTACTGCTTCCTTTCAACTTCTATAAAAAGTGTAAGATACAGTCATAATGATTTTAGGAAAAACGTTCACAACTCAAGTCTATTAATTGGTCAACATCTCATGCCTAAGTATTCTGTCTGTTGTTATGGTCCTTCTGGCTCCTCTTCCTAGAACAAATAATGTTTTCTTTCAAACCCCTGGTGCAGCATCCTGTTTCTCCCTCTGCTTTAAACTTTATTTTTAGAGTCCACTATTCCACTAAAAAGTGATTTGCATATATTACATTAACCTTGAAGATAGTGGAGGTATCACAGCTGTTTTATGAGTGCTAGTGCCTTGTTTTAGCCTGTTAAGACTGGCAGGTAAAAGAAGTATCTGTTAGACCTCGTAGCTGATGAATTAGTAGCTTGGGTTTAGCAGTTCAGTGAGCAGAAAAAGATGGATCCATTCTTTTGACATTCATATGACTGCTTAGAAAAATTAATCCTTCTAGGAGCTGCTTTATGCATGTAAGCCTACCTGGAAAAACAAGATACAAGTTTTCCACTTTTTGTTCTTCCATAAATGTTAAGCAAACTTAAAAGTTCTCATATCTGGAATAGCTTTCACTGAGGTGCATCTTGGATGAGCAAGCGCTCTCCAGGAAAAGCTCCTTCTCTAAATTAGCCCTAGATACATTCCTTTGTCTCCAGATTTGCATGTGCATTTGGAAATGGTACTTCCTACTTGTACATGCAACACCATATTTAAAATACTTTATTGTCTTGGATTACTGCACCTGTATTGATGCCTACACTATGCCCATCAGTAGCCAAGGAACGTGTCCCATCGCTGTAAGAGCAGGTGGATTGTAAATGACTGACCTGACTCATTGGGGTCTCTTAGCTGGAATACAGAAGTTTTTAAAAACAACTAACTACTTCTGCTGGCTTTTTAAAATGAATGTGTATGTATACCAAAAAGTCTATTTTTTTCAGAAAAAAAGGAATAATTTTGCCTTTCTTGCGTTAAAAAAAAAAAAGTAAATCATTGTACTAGGTATAGCCATATATCCATGGGCAAGCACACTTATTTTACATAAACTAACAAATTTCAAAATGTGGACTGCTTTACATTCAATTTTTTCACAGTAATAAGTAGTTAAGCTAAGTACTTCTTTTACAGAAAACCATAAACAAATTTAAGTAGCTCTTTTCATGAAGACTAGATCAGAAGAACATTTTGCGTTAAAATTTAATGTAACTGAACAAAAGTAAAATAGTTAGGTTCACTTTAAATCACAGGAATTGTGACTCAAAGGCACTTGATCCATTGTTTGCAGTTGCATTTGTCTGACATTTTAGTACCTGGCAACTGATTTGTGAAAACATGAAAGCAAGAAGCTACGCTTCTAGAATTGCAGCACAAGAGCTTTATAGAAACTTCTTGAAAGGTTTATGAAATATCAGACCGAGTTCTCATGGGGTTTTTCCCATGTTATAATAGAAAGTTGCATTAGTTTATGAGCACAGTGTCAACATCAGCTTAATGCCAACTGCAGCAGTGTTAGCTGAAAACCCCTCATGATTTAAATTAATTAAAAAGCATCAACATGATAAATTGTGAAACCTATAGCTCTCTTGAAAAGTTCTTCTGGGCATTTTTTATTTCATATGGTAAATGTTTTAATTTTTATAGATTATCAGATTTAATAGGTGAAAGATCCAGGAAGGTTAAAATGAGTCTGCTGCGCTTTGTCTTAAGAACTTGATGGGGGACTAGATGATCTTTAAATGTCCCTTCCAAGCCTTTGGAAATAATTTGTCCCCAGATATTATGATAATTATTATATAAATTATCTCAGTTAAGCTTTTGTCAGCATCAGTCTGAATAGTTTGATAACTTGTTTATGTAACTCAGGGTGCAGTGGCAGAGGTGGGGAGCACCTTAGAAGTGAGTTACAAAGGAGAAAATAAAACCTGTGGTAGACTCTTGTACAAACATTCCAGCACTTTAAACTTAGTAAAAAGTACAGAACACTCTTGATGTATGGAAAACAACTATTGTTGGCACTCTGGCAGTTATTAAGGTATGGGTGCTTTTTCTGCTGTGTAGGAAGCAGCTGCAGGAATCACTAAGGTGTGAGGAGGGACTAGTGCAGAGAACGTATGAAGCTGCTGTGGTTACCATGGAGGTTGTAGAGTTCAAGGCGAGTCTTTGTCGTATGCCAGGAAATCCTCTCACTTTTTAAAAGCAACACCTTATGCTCCCATGTGCTTTGCTGTTTTTCTTGCCGAAGATAATGCACGTTTTATGTGCTAATTTGCCTGTGGTACCAATACATTGAAATATCTACGGTATTTCTGTAGATAAGCAGCTCTAAGTCTTAATTATTTTTTTTTTCGCTCCTTATCCCCTCTTCAGGGATACATTTAAGTAATCTGTGATTTGAAGAGTACTTCATACTATGTATCCTTCTCTGTGCCATTGCTGTAATTGTTATTTATATTCTCCCTGATGTTTTGTCTGTAGTAGTTGTTTCAGTCTGTGCTACAGTTTACAATAAATATGGCTTCTCCAAATTTCTTTTCTTTGCATGCATCTATCAGCCTAGTGATTTAAGGAAACACCGTAGAAAGGTAAAAAACTTTAGTTTATTTACTGCTGTGCCCCTTCATCTCCTTCCTTGTCCCCTAACTCATCATTGGGTAACAGGAACATAAAAGAAGGCATTTGCAGGGTAGCCTTAAAATAAAGCAAGATTATATGCTCTTTGATATTAAATGTAAAATGGTTTATCATAATATAAGTGTGGGTTTGTTTTGGTTTGTGGGATTTGTTTGGTTTGGCTTTTTTTTGCTGGTATGGGGGACTGTTTGATACCACTACTTTGCAATCTGCATGAAACAATATTTAATTTTAAAGATCTGTTAGTGCACACACAAAAAAAGTCTTAATTTCTGTTATTCAAACTTTGAGATAAGCCATAGCCCCAGGTACGTAGAAACTGACTTCGTAGAATTGATGAGCTTGCTAATGATTGTCTAAAACACATAACAATGAGAATCCAGATGCTGCTTTTTCACACAACTTTTTGGTTTTCTGTCTTAGCACTTGCTTAAACTGAAGTCAGGTGTATTAGTTCCATGGTGCTCAAGACATTACTTTAGTTCTTAGCTCTATGAGTGAATAAAAGATGAGCGCGCTACTTGCTCTTTTCACAAGCTAAGACTGAAGTTTAGTAGTTTGTCACTGAAGGTAACAGAAAATATAAAAAGAAGTCAAAAAATAGGCAAGTGGAGAATGGGAAGGCTAATTGGAATTATTTAGCACTGAAATAACTGATTTTTTTCCTTTCAATATTTTGTGTAGTGTTGGTACTGTGTTCAGACTTTAACATTTCTAACTAACCTCTCAATTTTTCATTCATTTTCCTTTAGTCTCCAGCTTCTAGAGACGAGGTACGAGATGATAAAACCACAATAAAATGTGAGACATCACCACCTTCTTCACCTCGATCTTTGCGTTTGGACAGAGTCCAAAAAGGAGCTTTGCATACAGTGAGCCATGAAGATATCAGGGACATCCGAAAGTAAGTAGCTGTGAATAAGCCACACCTACCAGTAACCTCGTATTTCAGATGATCAGAATAAAACCCTAAAACTGGAAATACAGGATTTTAGTCTAGATATTGAAGTGTTTCTCTAGAGTAAAGAGCATGAACCCATAAATGGGTGATTATGTTACATAGAGAGTAAGAACACAGATTTTGTTAATGATCAGAAATGGCTTTGTGAAGAATTCTTCTGGAACTCAAGGTCTGCATTAAGTTTGCTTTAGAAATGCAAGACATACAATTCCAGTCATCTTTCATAGACTGGAATTTAGCTATACATTCAGAAATAAGTTGCAAAATTACCATCATTTTGATTGACGGATGTTTTTTTCAAAGTGCCTGGGTATCTGGGATGGATTCCATTCAAGTATTTAAAGCTTCCATTATCTGCCTCAGTTTGTCAGGAACTTGTGTTGTCAACTTTGTTTTCTGAATTGCACTTCACACACTTTAATTCTTATTTCTTAATAAAAGTAAGAATTGCCTCGTAGTTCCATGCTATGGCATATAAATATTATATCCCTTCCTTTCTTGCATGATTTAGTCTTTTCCACTGTTTTTTTCTATTTAATGACATGTATTTTAGAGCTATGTTTCTTTTCATGACTCATTAAAAGGTGAAATTAGATGTTGTTAGTGAGTTACTGAGCTTTTAACTTGCACAGAAACCTGAACTTGTCTTTCACTATGTTGCCAGTGAATTTGGTCTACGTGTGCTTCTTTATGACTTCTTTTTTTTTTGGTAAAGCTCAACAGGCTCACAAGATGGGCAAACAAGTAACCCTAGTAGCAGTAATAGTAGCCAAGATTCACTTCATAAAGCCCCCAAAAAGAAGGGGATCAAATCCTCTATTGGCCGCTTGTTTGGCAAGAAAGAAAAGGGACGACCTGGACAAACAAGCAAGGAGTCATTAGGACAAGGTTGGTTTTGTTTTGTTTTTCTTCACGGTAGGAGAGAGAGTGTGTGAAAGACTAAATTTTAGGATGTATATATCAGTTTGTACGTATTTAGGACTGATTATTTTGATGATGTACAGCATTTTGTGGAATATTTTTATACATCATTTTGATGGGTATTAATTCAACTAGAAAATGGAGGGTTAGATGAGCTTGGAGGTTTGGCTTTGTACATTTCTGATCAGTAGTATTTGCAAAGAATTACATACTTTTCTTCAGGAAAGCAGTAGTGATTTTGGAGTTATAACTGGCCAAAACTGAGAAGATAAAAAGATTGGGTTTTGTTTTGTTTTTTTGTAGTTGGCATGGCAGAAGGAGACGGTTCCTCTCAGGATGCATTAGGTCTCAGCAAGCTTGGAGGTCAGGCAGAAAAAAACAGGAAAATGCAGAAAAAGTAAGTTATTGAATATTTTTAATCCTTTGTTGTTAAGGTATTGCTTTGTTTAAAAATGTACTGTTTTCTCTTTTTTTGTATTGTTTTGGTTTTGCTTAATATGGTGCTACTGTGTTCATGAATTTTTTTCATTTCAAGTTTGTCTTGATATTTTCTCTCATGCATTTTAACAGCTGAAATCTTTTTTTTCCTTGCACTATGCCCCTGATTTCCTTTTTATATATTGTGACTATTTCCTTTTTTTAAGGCACCTTTTCAGTGTGTGTCCAAGAAAATTTTTAGTTTAATGTTTACCTTTTGAGAATTGTGTGCTTTTTTGTTCCTAGACTTAGAAGAGATGAAGTAAAGGCTTTAGTTGTAGGTGAAAAATAGCTACTGCTACTAGTACAAATCTTGACTTGATGCTTATATGGTATTACAGGAAATGCTAAAATTTATAGAAGTAGGATCAGGCATTCTTTGCATTTTTCCACCCAAAGCTGAGCCGTGTTTCTTGTGCTTTTGTTGCTTCTGTTCAGCTGTCTTTGCTCTGTGTCAGAAAAGCTGACCAAGATCCAGATACGTTTTGCTTTTTTAATTGCTTTCTGAAGACAGGATAGTGAATGTTGAAAAGAAAGCGTGCTAATTTTCTCTTTGTGAGAGATTTCTTACAGTACCTAAGTTTTATTAACAAATAAGAATAATGCCTGGTGACTGCTAATGAAAGCCAGCAGCGTGTTGGTTTAAAAAGTCAGAATGGAATGTGGTTTTGTTTGTATAACAGAGCACTCAGCTGTTTTTCTTCAGACTGTTACACTGAAGGCAACCGTACGTTATTATGATCTGGTATTTTCCCTTTTCTACAGAGCTTTAAAGTCATACCACATCTTGGTTGAATAAATAATTTTAATCTGGTCATACCGAAATAGGCCTGTTCTTTGAACAATATAGATCTTTCTCAATACCAGCAACAAATTGCATTCTAGGGTAAAGCAATCGATACTGTCTTGCTTTAATAAACGCAAGAAATGCAGTTGCAGATAAATCATGGCTTTTCTTTGTAAACATTCTGCCTTTCAAAAATTTCCTGGTATTGCTTAAAAGTAGGCCTCATGGCTGCGTGTTGTTGATTGCTTAAAATGCAAGCGTCTATATTAGACAAATGAGAACTTTTAGTTTGAAATTGCCTTGCCTAGTAATTAAATATGAGTATGTGCTTATTCACAGGAAGGTGTCTATGATTCAGATATTTCAATGAAAGTGGGTATGAAACAAGACTGGGATGAAGATAGATATCATAATATTTAGTTTTATTACTCTTATTGCTGAGAGCAGCAGCAGGGCACATTGAACTTCCAGAAGAAGCAAATTTTACTATTTTAAAAATTCCAGCAAGATACTTCAATCCAGCTGTTTTCAGAATCCTGACAGGTATTCTGAATGTAGGAAGCAATATTATTGCAGAGTGTCAAAGATCCCTTGCTGCCTTCGCCAGGTGCTCGTTATCAAAAAGAAAAAGCAGTGAAGCTGCTCTGAATTGCTTTTTACTTTGATATTGGAAAAGGGTGGGGTTAAAATAAATACTCAAGGCCGACTGTTTGCTTATAAAATTCTGTATTCAGCAAAAAGAATTCCAGTTACCTGAATGCTTGAAACAATGACGGCTGTTTCTATTTATAGTTGTCTCTAATCCCTATTTGCTTGCTTATCTTTCTGATTTCTGCATGCATGCATACAAACAGGCCAAGGGCAGTATTCAGTCTCTTTACTAACAAAAACCTATTTATAGTTACAGAATTAAATTACAGTATATGTTATTTGTCTGGTTTTGTATGCTTTTGAGTTCAGTTTAATCCTAGATTTATATTTTTCCTTCATTGTTTTATTTTCCTTTTGTTTACCATTTCATGTGGTAGAGCAAAATCAGGGTAAGTTTATATTTATTTTATGAGGTTTGTTGTGAAATTCTGATAAATCTCCTTTGGGTTTTTTAGCAAGATATTAAAAGCTCTAACTTTTTTCAAAAAAGTCTAATTCTGAGAGGAGATGCTAGATTCAAAAGAATTTATGTTGCTGAAATAAATCCAGTGTCAGTTAGTTCAATGTCTTGTCTTAATTTGCATGGTGTGAATTTTTATAATGCAGATATTAAATGGAATTAGTTTTCTAATTTGGGGTTTGAGAGTTGTTTAGCAATAGTGGAAATTTGTGGCAGTTTACTTCCAACGTAGATGTATTTCTGTAAAACCCTCGCTCTTTGTTTACTAAATTTCTTTTTAGTGTTTTGTTCATGCTGTTCATCTTTGTGAGCTGTACTATCGACAGTGTTTGCCACAACTGTATTTGTGCTTTTCTGTGTACAACACAATAAACTTAATACTGTATGAATCAAAAAGGAAGGCAACCCTAAATTTAAGATAACTCTCCTTAAAAAAAAAAGTTATACATGAAAAGTTTATTACATACCTGAAATCAGTATATAATACAGATATTAACTTTCCATTGATGCTCTGCCTGAAATTAATCTTATTTTCATCTCGTGTTTTGGTACTGTTGCCTGTTTTTACACCTTGCAAGTCTGTCATTCCCATCAGTATCACTCTCTTCACCACCTTCCCTGCAGCATTTTTTCTTCTCTTAACTTCTTCCAAATCCGTTGTCTTCAGTTCCGTCCAAGAAATCTGGAATAGAGCATTCCCCTTTGGCTCCAAGTTCTGGATTTATCCATTCCCATGCTGTCTTGATCCAGTGACAAAGTGATGTGGCTCCGGGCTGCTTTATTTTCCTTGTTTGGGTCAGCCTATGCTTGCCAAGAGCCATTCTAAATACAAATACTTTAAATGGTCTTTAAAGGGCCTTGTGCGTTCGCTACTACATCAAGCACCTGCAATTTCGACATCGTTCCTCCTCCCATATGACCACAATTTCTTTGTTCTCCACAGCTGGTGTTAGATGCCTTCTGACTGTGGGTCACAACAAGCGTTCCCCTCCCACAGCAGAACATTTGGCCTCCCATTCCCAGTGATATTCAGCCAACTTTTTATTAAGTCCTTAAACATCTATCCCTTGGGATTGTCACCTAAGAGTTATTCCAGTAGCCAGCTACTCCTTTGACGTTGTTTTTTTCCTTGATGGTGCCAGCTTTATACCATCTGTTAACACTGCCAACACTACTGCAATATTATTTTTTTTTCCTCACAAAATTATGAGGCTGGATTTTTGCACTTCTTAAATGGTATAATTGGATGGCCTGGGAAATTAAACTGGCCTGTCAGTTGTGATCTTTACATAATCTGATCACGTCCTGCTGGAATGCAGTGAGTTTCTTGGTGAGGTTGGGAGGGAGTTGGTGGAAAAGTGAAGTTCCCTGCTGTAGGAAAAAACCACTGATGCATCATTTGCAGATAAAACAGCAACTGCCTTTGAATTCTTCCCGTGAGATGTTTTATGCCTGTGCTCTGGCTTGAGCTTTCAGGGTAGTGATTTCCCACGCAAGTTAGTTTCTCTCTCTCCTTGCATACAAACAGATCCTGCTATTAATTTTCTGCTTCATGGATGTGTTTCCTCGTTGAGTAATTTCTGCGTAAAGTTACCTCATGAACACTTTTCATTGGTTTGTTTCTATTTCCCCATGTTTGCCTCCATCACATAGCCCTTCCCTCCAGCCACACTGTTGTTTTCTGCACACAATTCTACCATGAGTTTAAAGTTTGCATCATAACCTCTCCTTACGCTTTCCATACATGCCTTGTACTGCTCATCTTCAAATTATTTGCTGTTTCGTGATTTACCTGGAGTACCCCAGGAGATTTATAAAACTACCAGAAATTACACTGCAATTCTTTGAATTCCATAGGATACCCCAAGCAGCTGGGGCAGAGACAGGGACAATGTGCTCTCCTGGGGTCATCCTGGTCGAACCTAAGGCTGCTTTGGGCACGTCTGTGCTCTTCCATCACTAGTGAACCTCCTTCACTGCACCCTTATCTTACCACAGCCACCAAAAAGGAAGACAAAGACACTTAATTTGGAAGTTAAACTACTTGGAAAAAACATTGTGTTCCTTTCTGGCAAATACAGTATTAAGCATTTTATTCTGTTCTTCCCAAGCAGTATTCTTTAACATCTTAGTAAATTATTTTTCTCAACAAAGTGAGGCAAAACTGAATGTGTTCAGGGCCAGTGATTTGTGGAATTGTTGTAGTGTGTTCCACGGTAGCAGGATAATAGCTAATCCTAGTTTAGAAATATATGGGGGTTTTTTTGAAGTTTACAAATATGTATTAGCTCTTAGAAATGTATGTATTTTTTTTGAAGTTTACAAATATGTATTAGCTTTTGTCGTCGTCTCTTCTTTGTTAGTAAAATCTAGCTAGTGAGCTGCTAACTGCTGAACAGTGTTTCTGCCTTAACTGTTGGGTCTTAAAATGGGTATATTAGAATGGTTATTTGTAACCAATTATCTGGCAGTTCCCTCCTTCCTCCCTTTTTTTCATTCCTAGGCAGCACATTAAATTAGGATCCGAGTACTGGGTGGTTCTTGTAGAGCAACAGGAATTTACTGACGTGCAGGTGGAGAAATAGTGTTGATAAAACAGTTGCTAGTGTATTTATTACTTCATTGATTATTTTTTATATTTAATTATCTGCCAATATAACACAAGGATCCAAGATATGCTGAATACTGCATATCCATGCTGCAGGGGTAGCAAAGAAAGCTACTGCTCTGTCAGTAAGCACTTTTCAAGATGTCTTGGGTGGTAGTTTTTGAATATCTGTAACTTTTAAATATTTCTCATCTTAGATCTATTCAATGATACATTTCTGAAGGCAGGGAGACTTTATTTGTTTTAAATTGTGAGAAAATGATCAATACATAACGTAGGATCTTCAATGTGTAGTATTGCTGCTTATCTCAGTTCTGCACTTGCAGACATGAATAAAAAGCATAAAACAGTAAAAACTGTCCAATTAGGTGAGGTTGTTTTTTCTAAATTTGTAAGTACAGTGAGTGGAGACTTAAACTTATATGACTAGCTTTCAAAAGCAGCTTAAATACGCTTTTTTCAGACTTTTTTCCATTTTTTTCAGACCAATGTATCCAAGCAACATTGCTTGCTTAATCCTGCAACACCAGTTTTTGTCTTCTGGTTTATCAAACGTTTTTGGCAGCTATTTATAGGGCTCTTGTGGGCTTCCATTGTTTCTGTAAGCTGAATTGTCAATATTAAAGTTCAGTCTCTTCTGTTTCAGCATAACAAAGGAAATGGTGTCATCATGGGGGATGAAAGCTGAGTTTCAGTCCCCAGCCTTTCAGAATGTAATTGCCAAAGCGTGGCGCTCTGAATAGAATGGCTGCCAGAAGCTGGGCCTGAAATTCTGACAGGCTCACTGGTGCAGGCTAAAATTCACCAATTAAAGGGTTACTGCCCCAGTTCCCAGTCTTGACAGCCTGATGGACATACCGTTTGGATGGCAGGGGTGTCTGGTACTCAGACATTTCTGCAGGTCTCAGATCTGCACATTGAGGAAAAATGACCACTTTGGTTCAGCCTAATTTGCTGAACAGAAAATTGCAGCAATTGAGAATCTGACTGACAAATAAGCCCCATATTTCCACTTGATGTTGGCAGAGTTGGTTAGAGTGTCAGTGACAGTTTGAGACACAAATTCCAAAAGGCAAGATCCAGTATCTTTCCTGCTCTGAAATTTCCTACCCAGTTCAGCTTCCCTGTAGTCCTTCCACGTGTTTTCTTAGCAGCTGTATCACATAAGGCTGAGAAAGGAAAAAAGTTAATTGTTGGAAAGAAAACAGTAAATTGAATGCAGTGTTTAAATGTTAACATCTAGTAGTAACTAGTTTCTCTGTTGTTAATAACTATTTCTGTATTTGTAGGCACGAGTTGCTAGAGGAGGCCAGAAGACAAGGTTTGCCTTTTGCTCAGTGGGATGGACCTACTGTGGTGGTGTGGCTGGAGGTAAGTGGTCCCTCAAATAAATTTAAAAAAACCACCTCAATATACATCCTCCTAAAGAATTTAAGATTTTGGAGGCCAGGAATCAAAATAAATTAAAAAAAACCCACCTCAATATACATCCTCTTAAAGAATTTAAGATTTTGGAGGCCAGGAATGTTTTCCAGATCCTGCTAACTTCTTTTTTTTTTTTTGGTGTGTGTTTCAGCTGTGGGTTGGGATGCCAGCCTGGTACGTGGCTGCTTGCCGAGCCAATGTGAAAAGCGGTGCTATCATGTCAGCCTTGTCTGATACAGAAATACAGCGTGAGATTGGGATTAGCAATCCCCTGCACAGGCTGAAGCTGAGGTTGGCCATTCAAGAAATCATGTCGCTGACAAGTCCATCTGCCCCTCCCACCTCAAGGACGGTAAGGAAAGTGATCCAGCATTAAACATCTTTTAGAACGCTTAGAATTTCCAAAAATTCTGCTGCAAACACGTTAACTGAAAGGATTTAAACTTCAGATTAGGATTTCTGGAAACATTATATTGTAGAGGAACACATTATTTAAAAATAGGATGTTTATTCCTTTAATGAAAGTTAAATGAAGGAATAACTACACTTTCTTTCTCAAGAAAACAAAGTTTATATCAGTGTAAGTATATAGTCCAAAATATTTAGAGAACATGTTATTTGCCTCATCTTTTGGTCTCAGAAGAATTTATAATACCCATGAGGTACAGATGTGCATACAGAAATTTGTGAAACGATCGGAGGCTCTAAGAATTGATTTGTGAGGCCATTAACTCCAAATAACGATTCAGACTACATAAGCTAGGAATCCACCTGTCTCTCCATACTGTAGTACATTTAGACACTTAAAAGTCGGTGTGAATTCCCTCCTGAATCTGTCTACCCTGCAATTTAAAGTTATTCCTGAGATTCCTGGGATTACGTGCTAGACTCCAAATGCGTTTTTCAGATTAGAGCAAAGTCAAGTGTTTGCCCATTAATTACATTGGTGTAAGCTATTTATCACATTCAATTTTGTTAATGGCTGTGAAGAAAAGTGATCCATGGGGAATAGGTTTTTATTCCCTGCCATTACTTTCAATAAATATACCTGTGTTTAAGACTTTAGAAACCATTGCTTTTGCCCATACCTGCTCCTTATGTGTACCAATTGCTTATATGTTCTGCAACCTCTCCTCTTTGTTACTGCTTTCCTTTCACTGGATGGGATTGTGGGGTCATGTTAGACCACGGGAAATGTCTGGGTAACACATGAAGAAATGGAAAATCTTACAGCCACACAACAAACGGTTAGTTTATAGTGTTGCCACTTCTGTTCCTTAGAGTGCTTTTCCCACCTTTTGAACATTTGAATCAAGTGCCTTTTGGTCTTTATTTTTCTTTTTTTTTTTTTTTTTTTCAAATTAATGCATTAAAATTCTGGATCATTGCTTCTTCTAATTATTAACCTTATAACCTGCATCTTGATAGTTGGTTTTTTTTTTTCCAGAAGGGGGGAGAAAAATCACCACTGATAAGATTGTAAACAAACCCCTTTCTAATCTGTAAAATGGAGCTCTGATTTGATTATCTAAAAGACAAATTGAATTATTTGTGTGGAAATGTCTTCTCTCCAGAAAACTTAATCAGTAGATGGGTTTTGCGACCTCACATACGAAAATGAGTGCCTTATATATTTCTTTTACATTGCATGATGCTTGCTTTATCTAGATTTTTTTTTGATATGCAGTAGACTTTAGAGGCTTGCAGTGCATCTTTAACTTTGGTCTCCTTACTAAACCTAAATACTAATACATATGTGTTCTTTTGCTTTTCTAACCACGTAACAGGAAGATGAGGAGGGAAGCTGGGCTCAGGTTGGACTCTTTATGTAATATTATAGACTATATGTAAATTGTCACAATAATTAGAGCATGTTTCCTATATAGCAGTTTCTTTTGGTGATTTGGTGTGGCTTGGGGATTGGGAGAGGGTGGAACTACAGGTTTATCTCTGTCAAATACGTACTTGGAATATACATTTTTATATTTAGGTGATGTCAATATCTTAATGTTTTCCGGAATTGCCAAGATTTGGTGGTTCATTGAAAATTGTAAAATATGTTGTTACATGGTACATCACAAAAAAACCTATGCATAAGGATTTTTAATAATACTAAGAGGAAAGAATATTCCTAAGTCTTTGTTATCTTTGTTTCTGAAATATTTATCCTCTATCTTATGAATCATCAAAATGTAGTTAGTCTCTCTTTATAAGCATTGCTGTATTCTATGCATTGAACGTACTATATAAAATTTTACAATAATTTCATGACAAAGCATGGAATGTTTTGGTGAGGGCTGGCTCTCTGGGAAGCCAGAACTCCAGGAGGAATATCTGCTTTGTGCAGAAAGTCCCTGTTCAGCCCAGCACCATCACAGGTGTGCTACAAGAGCCTAGACACTTAAGTAGATTTCTGTGCACTAATTCTGTAATCCTCCTTGATTAATTGTTTTCCCTTAAAGTGGTGACAAATCCTAATTGTATTTTCAGGCACTGATATAGTTGAGTATTTTATACAGGGATATAAACAAAACTCAGGATTTGCCTGTGACCCATATCTTTGGAGGGGATAGTCTCTCCTCGCTTGGCTGCCCTCCAGCTTAAACCTGTTTAAGTCCCATTAACCACCACTGGGATACTCATTTGCAGATTGCCAGTGATAACAACCATAGCTTGCCCTCCCTCTTTCAGGAATAACGTGCTCTTTCACTCTGCTACCTAGTGAGGGCTCGAAGAAATGCATTTCTGTGGGGCCTTGCTCCTTTCTGGAAGAGAAATAAAGCTTTTGACTTTTAATAGCACAGTAAAAATGAATGATTACCCTGGACTTCTGAAAAAAGGAGCTGCTGGGTTTTTTTGCTCAAGGAATGATTAGATGCATAAACTTTTTAGAAGTTTTCTCCAAATAATGCCTGGTGATAGGTCAGAAATGCAGTGAAATACAGAACTCTCTCTCTTTTTTTTTTTTTTTTTTTTACTTTTCTTTTTATAAAGATAATGGCCAACATTTAGAATTGCTTGTTCTTCAGTGGTGGGTTTTTATCAGTTTCTGCAATCATTCAAGTGTAGTAAAAAAAATCCTGCAGTGTTGGGGTTTTTTTTTGATATCATGTATTTATATCTCAAAAATATAATGTCATGTGAAAATAAAGATAATGGCCAACATTTAGAATTGCTTGTCCTTCAGTGGTGGGTTTTTATCAGTTTCTGAAATCATTCAAGCGTAGTAAAAAAAATCCTGCAGTGTTGGGATTTTTTTTATCTTATATCTCAAAAATATAATGTCATGTGAAAAATAAGACAACCCCCCCTCAATTTTCAAGAGAGACAGTATTTTCAACATCTTAGCAAAATGAAATTCCATGGCGCTTGCTGTCAAGACTGTATAGATTAGTCATTTTTTATTTTTATTAGCTTTTGGATATTTTTTTCATACTCTTCAACATGAAACAAATTAAGGCATTTTTACTTGCTGATCTGAATATTTAAACTTGCTTTTCTTCATGAGGATGTCTTCAGAAAACACACGTAGTAGTCAGTATTTTGAACACGGGCTAAGAAATGAGCATTGTTTTACTTTTTCTTTGAAGTACGTTGTCTCAAAAGGCTTTACCCTCTTATTTCTCATTTTAATAAGCTTATTGCTTAATCTTTTACAAACAGACATTAGCGTATGGTGATATGAACCATGAGTGGATTGGCAACGAATGGCTCCCCAGTCTGGGGCTCCCTCAGTATCGCAGCTATTTCATGGAATGTCTTGTTGATGCTCGAATGCTGGATCATTTAACTAAAAAAGACCTGCGTGGGCAACTTAAAATGGTCGACAGCTTTCACAGGTAAACAGATTTGAATTTGGAGACCTAACCTACAGTAAATGTTTTCATTATCTCTAAACAATTTTTTTCCCCATGTTTTTTTTCTCTTTTTCTAAACAGAAACAGTTTTCAGTGTGGAATTATGTGCCTACGAAGACTGAATTATGATCGAAAAGAGCTTGAAAGAAAAAGAGAAGAAAGCCAGAATGAAATTAAGGGTCAGTGCATTGTCTTGACCTCGGTCTGATTCTAACATGTTTTCACTGATCTGCTTCAAAAATTATTTAAAAAAAAAAAAAAAGGCATTAGAGGGAGGAATTAGAGATGTGTTTGGATGTATGCCCTGAACAGTGAACCATGAAACACATCATTAAACCATTCACTTGTGCAGAGACATGCTGCAGATGCAGGCACTTTTGAAGCTGTTACTGCTCTGAAGTTTGATAGAAAGCTAAATGTTTTGGGAGGATGAAGGTTTTGAAAAAGGTTTGGGGTTTTAGTTCCTTCCCCCTGCCCCATTCTGACATAAAAACATGATTTTATTGTTGCTTCTGGCTAATAATTTTTATTACCCAGCACTTCATGAAAAAATATCCAGATGACTTAGGTGATTGTATCTTCCAGATTCATGGCAATCATTAGACAAGAAAGGAGGAAGAAAAAGCAGGGTGGGAATTCACAGTATTTTCCAAGACTTCTCATTGAAGTTTTATCCTGTGCTTAACAGGAGAAGTTTTTTCTGCCATCTTAGACTAAAATTTTAGGGTTAGCTTATACACAGTTTCCTTTCTTGGAAAGGCTCTGTGCCTGCTCTTCTCCTTTCCTTTTAAAGTGTTGATACCCTTCTTGGAAGGCTCTGTGCCTGCTTTTCTCCTTTCCTTTTAAAGTGTTGATACCCTCTGGTGGTGGTTCTACTAATTGTGCTTGAGAACATTCCCAGGAGTTGCAGGTAACTGGCATGAAACAAGCCTGTGTTGAGGCTCATAAGCCTTTTTTCAGCCTCTGAAGTGGTATGGCTGCATCTGTTGCCTATAGGGAATTGCTCCTTGAATCACATAACTCATTAATTCCTCCTGGTAATTGTTTGGGAAGAATGCTGTGGATCATTATAACAGTTTGAATGGCATAGGCATTCCTGTGGAGTGTAAGGAAGTCTACTTTTAAGAACATAGTTGTTGTTTTGGTGTGTGGGCTGAACGTGTAAATGCTGCTTTATAATGTAAGAACATTGTTGTTTTGGTGTTTGGGCTGAACGTGTAAATGCTGCTTTATAATGGTTTTCCTTGAAAAAGTTCTAAGATGAGAGTATATTGATTGTTGAACTGTTACAGTATGTAATGCTTTCTGGCAAACTTCAAATAATTGTACTTTCTCTGCTTTGAATCTCTGATTGTGGAGAAGTGTAGTATTATGCATACACAAGCTGAAGGAAAGTCTGCATTACTAAATTGAACACCTTCAGAACTTAAAGGTAGATAAGATTATAAAACTAAAAAGTAATAAAGAATAGAATATTAAATAATTTGAATGTAAATAATAATATTAAATACAATACTTAATAATCAAGGACCCATCCCTGGAGGGGTTCAAGGCCAGGCTGGATGGGGCTTTGAGCAACCTGCTCTAGTGGGAGGTGTCCCTGCCCAGGGCAGGGGGGTTGGAACTTGATCTTTATTGTGCCTTCCAACTCTAACCATTCTATGATAATAAAGCTTTAAACAACTATAAATAAAGCTTTCTGTTCAAATACAGTAGGAAATGCGTGAGAAGTTGTTACAAGATTTTTTTTTTTTAATAGTATGTTTTTTTCCCAAAAAACTTAATCTGTCTTGGGCGAGGTCCAAGCCCCTAAGTGGCTGTGTAGAATCAAAGATCCTGTCTTTGCCACCTGCACTTCTGAACTTCAGTGCCCGGCTGAACTTCTGATAAACATGACATGAGCATCCAGATCAAGAAAGGGCTGTGGGTTTCTCGTTCAGAAAAGTTGTGTTGTTACAAATCGGGCAACTTTTTTTTCCTCCGTAGATGTCCTCGTCTGGAGCAATGAGAGAATGATCCATTGGGTAGTGTCCATTGGTCTTAAAGAATACGCAAATAACCTTATAGAGAGCGGAGTTCACGGTGCACTTGTGGCCTTAGATGAATCATTTGATTACAATGCATTAGCTCTCTTGTTACAAATACCCACTCAAAACACACAGGTAAGCAATAAGTAGTTACTTTATGATCAATAGGATTTTTCTCCTCTCTATGAAGGTTAAAAATGGAAATTACTGTTGGTTTTTTGCTTGTTTGTTTGTTTTTTTTTCCCTGGGTAGGTGCATGTCTTTCTATTCCCATTGTTTTGGTTTTTTTTTCCCCTGGGTAGGTGCATGTCTTTCTATTCCCAGCTCTAGAAACTTTAGAAATGGAAAATTGTTCTTAATCATTTTATCCTGTAAGAGAAAAATATAGAACTATGCTTTTTTTAGTGCTTTCTAATTCTTAATAACAATTCTGGTTGGTAAATTTGCTTGAACAAAAAATATTGAGTGTTTTCCTCATATCCCATTTTCACAGCATGAGTGTAAAACTCATCATTTTTTGTTGTTGGCTAGTTTTTATTTGGAAGTGATTACGTTTGAGGCAGAAATCATGAACTTTCCTATCACCGCTAAGGGGGAGCTGTTAACTCTTACTTAAGTTTTTAATAAGTTACAACTTAAATCATCGCTTTTCAAGTACTAAGTATGTTTATTAATCTGATAAGAAGGTATTAAGCAATGTGGGTTATATTATGTTTTAAAAATTACTAATAGTTACTAATTGCTATTTTTTAAAATTAATTTCCTTTTCTTTCATACTGTAAACTAGGTTACTAATTGCTATTTTTTTGGAATTAATTTCCTTTTCTTTCATACTGTAAACTTTAGGCTCGTGCTGTTCTGGAGAGGGAATTTAATAACCTTCTTGCTATGGGCACTGACAGAAGACTTGACGAAGTAAGTTACTTGAGCTGTGAACTTTATCCAAATGGTTCAGTGAAAGAATTTAGCGTCAACCTCTTTAAGCAATTGACAGAGTAGGGACAGAAATCTGAACTTGAAATTCCTTGTCTTGAGAGTTTCTGAATGTGGCAGGTTTTGTGTATTTAGGTAACGTGACTTCGAATATGAAAGTATTGAGATGAACTGCAGGGTTGTTTTCTGTAGTTTCTGTGGTTAATACCTAATCTTCCTACAAAGACAAGCTGAGAGAGTTGGGGGTGTTCAGCCTGGAGAAGAGAAGGCTCCAGGGAGACCTTATAACAGCCTTCCAGTAGCTGAAGGGGGCTACAGGAGAGATGGGGAGGGACTCTTGATCAGGGAGTGGAGCCATAGGTTGAGGTGTGATGGTTTTAAATTGAAAGAGGAGAGATTTAGATTAGAGACTAGGAAGAAATTCTTTCCTGTGAGGGTGGTGAGACACTGGAACAGGTTGCCCAGAGAAGCTGTGGCTGCCCCATCCCTGGAGGGGTTCAAGGCCAGGCTGGATGGGGCTTGGAGCAACCTGGTCTGGTGGGAGGTGTCCCTGCCCAGGGCAGGGAGAGGGGACTGGGTGATCTTTAAAGTCCCTTCCAACTCTAACCATTCTATAATTCTGTGATTCTATAATAGCAACACTTTGGGCTGAATCTTTTTTTTCTATCTAAAATGTGGTAAAATCAGTGACCAGCGGGTGCAGATGAACAAGCTGTCATAGAGAAAGGCATAGTATAGCTCATCTAATAAGCAGTATTTCAAATAGTTTGGAGTGTATTTAAACAAGTTTGTACGTTAATATCTGTTAATACCAGTATAGATGAGCACCAGGTACGTTTGCACATGAAACCAACTTTTGTTGGGAGGTCTGTGCCCTTACAGTGTATAAACTTCATTCAAATGTAATGAGTATTAAACTTTAACAAACTGGGGGTGAGACTGTTTTGTGGAGCCTGTGACCCCATAGCGTAAAGGAACAGAGTGTTACACCTTTAACCTTTTAAGTTGTTCTCTGTTGGGACTCTGTGAAGAGTTTAGAGCTGGTGTTACTTCCCTGAGAGACTCTGAACCCTTTGCTGCCTCTTCTTTTGTGCTAATGGGAGTTTGTGGTCACTCGTCTGAGCGGAAGTGGTTTGGGTTAAGACTAAGGTGGCGAAACCCTGATGTGGTTAACCAGGCCAGAAACCAGTCTGTGATATCTCAGAAACATTTGTGCTAGTATGAGGAAGAGGACAGGGGAAGTGTGAAGGTCCTGACGTCAGCTGCGTACACCAGTGTGTTGAAGAAGGAGGCTCCTATGACAGACCTTGATGGGGTTTGTGTTCATCTTTCTCCTAGTGGACTCGTTGCAGCCCTTTTGTGGCACATCCCAACAGCTCTGTTCTTAGGATGCGTCCCTACTAAAGTTTTAATAACATCATTAAAAAGCAGCTTGATATTTTCTGAGGTATTTTTCTTTAAGTGATTTCAAACTGCAAGAGAAGGAGCTTTAAGGGAATTGGATGTTCTCTGTTCCACCAGCACAGGGCAGTTTGTTGATCTTGAAGCTCTCCTCAAATAATGCAGACACTCATCTCCTAATTCTAAAAGGGGATAAATTTTAGGTAAAATGGCATTCATGTGATTGAACTGTTTCTAAAGGTGAAGCTGGCAAACGGAGATGCACAATGTGTTTATTTGCACTGACACAACACCTTCACTGCAAAAGACATTTTTAGGAGTGGGACTTAAGCTGTTGTATTTATTAAGTGCAATATTATATTTCTAAAGCAGAATATTACGTCAAAGATGCAGATGTATTAATGGGGAGCAAGTGCATTTAAGTTCAGTTTACCCAAGTGCTTAAGCAAAAGGCTGCAAGGCAATCTGGTATTTACTACACTTACTCTTTTTTCCCCTCACTGTCACTTCCTGGAATGTGGAGCACGAGAAGGCACAATAGTTGTATCATCATTCCTGTAAGACAGAATTGAAGGTTAAAAGCAATTGTTCAAATTAAGCCTCTCCATGGCAGCATTCCATTTTCTGATCTGCCCCCCTCCTCGCACCCCCTAAGGAGGAGTGATGTGACACTTAAGAATTACTGCAAACCATGAAGCACAAACATTCGAAGTACGAAACGTTTTCCTAAATGTGCTGAGCACAGGAATTTCCATAGTTACTGAGCTGAAGAGCCTACGCTTTAGCAAATGAACACAAATTGTTGCAAAGTCTCTGCTGCTGTTGTACCTGAACCGGTTCTGAAAATTACTCTTTGGGTGGTGAGACATTTCCTTAAGATTGTCAGTAATCCTTTTAATGTCAGCAACAGTCCTCCATTTTCTAAATGGCTAATGATGTTTATCGATGTAACAGGATGACGATAAGAGCTTTAGGAGAGCACCTTCATGGAGAAAGAAGTTTAGACCAAAGGACATAAGAGGTTTAGCTGCTGGATCAGCAGAGACTCTTCCTGCAAATTTCAGAGTTACAACCTCAATGTCTTCACCCTCTATGCAGCCAAAGAAGATGCAGATTGATGGTAATTGATTTTGTATTATTTTAAGCATGATGTGCTTTTTTTGCTTGAGTTCACAGGGGAATTAAGTTCAAATTACCTTTTTGCTGCATAAAAGCATCTGCCTTGTGCATGGTTGTGTGTATATATATTTATATGTAACACTGTGTTTAACCATAGGGTGCTTTATAATTTTAGGAAGCTGTAATAGATTTGGAGTTTCTTTTTACTTCATTGGAATAACAAAACGAGAATTGTAGTTAGAAATGAATTTATGTTAAAGTAGGAACATGAAATTAGATTTTAGTAGAAGACTTTTAATCATGTGATGCATAATTTCTAATTGGCAGCAATCAGACTAATGTAAGTCCTACTACTGAAATGCTGCAAAATGCATTCAAAAATGCAGCAAACTCCCTCAGATAGTTTTGAGACTATTAAAACTTGAGTAAAAGATGCCTTAACTCCCTGCAGCGCTTATTTAATTATTGATCATACTTGAAATCACTGCTTGATTCATTGCTGTATACTTAATGATCTATATGTATACGTGCGCATGTGCACGCACACTCAGAGATATGGATTTAAAAAACCCAAAGAAACCCCCCAAAACCCACCTGGAAGTTGATCACCTGTCACCTGAGGTATCCTGTTTAAAAAAAAATAAAAATATATTCCAGTGAGTCTTTCTGTGACTAGCTGTGTATACGTGCGCATGTGCACGCACACTCAGAGATATGGATTTAAAAAACCCAAAGAAACCCCCCAAAACCCACCTGGAAGTTGATCACCTGTCACCTGAGGTATCCTGTCTCTTTAAAACCAGTCTCTTTACCATGAGAATAAAATTTTACTTGAAATTGTTTTACAAAACACAAGGAAATGTAAAATGTATTTAATTGGAACGGACAGGGTTAGAACTTCAGCATAATCTGTCAATCGTCTCAGGTTCTGAAAACTGTATTTAGGAGTAAAGCTCAAAGAAACAGCCTTTGCCATCTGATGTTGCTCTCTAAAATGTTTCCAATTTTAAATACTGTCACTAGCATCAAATATTTTCCAGAATTCATGTGAAAAATTCTGTAAATTAAAATAAGCGAAGTCTTTACTACGTAAAGCCCCTTTCTTTTTATGATATAAAAAACCAGAAAAATATATAAACTATATAAAATAGAAGATAAATTATAAAATTACCTTTGCCAGTTTCTATGTGCTATTGGCATGCAGGTTTTTTTTGAATTCTTTTTGTTAGCAACTGAAACTGGAAGTGGATAATACATTAAACTGTGAAATAAATTCTGCTTTTCTAACTTGTAACCTTAGTGCTGGGTGAGTACGGTAGCTGTAATCGCATTGCTGTAAGAAAAAAGGGGTTTTTTTGGAAAACTAACATGCATGCTGTGTTCTGCATGTCTTCCCATGCTTCTTGAAATAGGCAGTGTATCAGGAACACAAAGATTGGATTCTGCTACAGTAAGGACCTACTCCTGTTAAAGCCTTCTCCTGGTGAGTAAAGTTGAGAGGTATAATAGTAAAGCAGCTATTTCTGAAATAAAACATCAGGTATTTCCTGCAGTGAAGACGATGAGTGTTTAAATATTTAAATATATTGAAGATTGTATTTTTTTGAGTTTTTTTTATTTTATTTAAACAGCCTCCAAAAGGACCTGTGCTAAATAGCTATTTACAAAGTGTTGAAATCAAAGGTTGGATAACACATCTAGTGGGGAGGAGGGAAGGGAACTAAATTAGGCATGTAGAGGAAAGAAAATAATTTAGTGTGTGATGCTGCAGTTCAGGTTATGGATCTTTCAGAGCTTTTGCTTGGTCAAAGTTTCCCCACTCCAGTATACTTCAATATTGAATTGTGACAGGGGTAATTGTGTAATTTTCCAGTTCTTGGATGCTTCATGCCACTGTGATTGCTTAGGCTGTCTGTTTGGATTGAGCTACCTGCAGCCTAAGCTGTGAGCAGCGCTGACAATAAAAGGCAGCTTAATAACACAGGGTGTTTAACACAAAATGCATGTATTCTGGTTTATAGAAGATTTGTAGTCCTGTCTTACTCCAGGATTTGGATGATTTTTCTTCAGCAGCCTCTGCTGTATTTTCTCCTGGAACAGTATTTCTCTGACTTTGCAAACAAGGCTGGAAACTAAATTTTTTTACTATATTGGAATTAAAAAAAAAAATAAAAAATAATATTCCAGTGAGTCTTTCTGTGACTAGCTGGTATCTTCCATGGGCTCTAAATTGCCTGGTTTTTCTGCTTACAGCTTCTTTCCTTTCTTCTCACCAGTAAGATCCCTACAAACTCGTGTATTGCCTGCCTTTTCTTCAATTTCGGAAGCTTTTTGCATATACAAGTTTGTTCCTAATGAGTTCTTATGTATGAAACATTGAGAAGGGGAAACTCTTGCACATAGCAACTCAGATCATGTCAGTTTATGATCCCAGGGGCTCTCTTACAATTATTTTTTTTTTGTAGTTTCAAGATACTGACTTTTAAGCCTTCCTCACCCCCAGGTTCTCCCCAGTTTCAGGATTTTCTGTAGTCAGATGACCTAGGATAATAATCTAGGAAGCTGAAATATTTGACCTTTACTTTGCAACTAAAGATTACAGAAGGCAATAAAATTGTGTACATTGTGGCATGGCAATAATTAAATGCATGACTCCTACTGTACTGAGCTCTTAAATGAACAAACTTAAATGACAAAATGAAATGTTTTTAAAAAAACCTGCTAATGGATTTTTTAATTTTTTTTTTCTTTCTGTGTGTTTTCTGTTTGTTTTCTTCTTGTTTTTACAGTTTACCCACACTATTTCTACCGGTGATTATGCAGCATTTTCAACATTTGGAACCCTTAACCTGTTAATACTTGTTAAATGGACACTTTGAGATATTTTATTACAGAGTTTTTAATTAGCAAATAAATTCATGAGTACTATAGAGAAAATATTTTAGAATCTAAATGTTTCTTATATTTATGTGACTTCTCATTTATATAGTTACTTACTTTTTTCTGTTTCTATTCAGTCTACAAATCAAATCATTGCTGATTTTTTTATTCTAATTTTAGTCTTTCCAACTGAATGTACTGTAATGCTTGTATGTATATGTCCCTATAAGTAATATAGGGTTTTTGTAAATTATGCAGTTACTGTAATTATCATTGTTTTTTATTAATGAAACTGAAGGTGAAAAGGATTTTAATACCTTTGTAAAAGTATCACGACACCAAGCAGTATATATTTTGTCTTTTGGAAACGTTAGCTTAGATCTGAAAACAAGTCCAGCTTTTTTTCAGGTAAGCAGATGTTGTTGTAGGAGGTATGGTACATCCTTGTTCTTCTTTTCAGAGCTGTACCCTTCCACAAAGAGGATTTGTCAAGTAGTGGGAATTTGCCTTTATTTAAACTATAACTTGTTTTAAAAGCTGGGAAGAACTCTTTAACACTATGGAACACGTTTTAGAAGTGATTGACTCGGTCATAACACTCTGCTGTATTTGTATTAGTGCATCTTCTCAGTGACTGAAAACAAGCCATAAACCAAGAACTCTTTTTATTTTTTTTTCCTTAACTGAGGAGGATAAACTTCACAATAATTCCTGGTCGTAATCCACAGGCCACAGAGGTTTTTTTGTTTGTTTTTTTTTAATCCTAGATCTTTTTGATTGAAAACACTTGTTGAAAGATGCTGGTGAAACTAGTTTTAACGGACCAAGCGTGAAGCACTGCAGGCTCGTGTCAAAGCAGTAGTGAAAGATGAAGGTACAATGGGCTGAAAACTAAAGCAGTGCAACTTCTAATAAAGGCCTTACTTTTCTTATGTAAGTCATCTTTTGTGTTTTGTAAACTTGTTCTAAAGAGTTGTCTGGACTTTCATTTTGATGGTTGTAGCCATTTTGGACTGTATGAGTAGAAAATGTATCCAACACTTGTAAATGGCATATTAAAAAGCCAGCAAGAATCTGTTCAGATGGTGCATTATTTATTATGCAACAATATATATAGCATGTCTTTTTTTCTTATTTTGTTTTCCACTTTTAACTTGCTTGTAAAACTGAAATTCGTTGTTACTGTTCTGTTTTTCTAATAATCTTTTGTGTATTTTCAGATTATGTAACAATATGTACAGTCTACTTTTGAACTATTTTTATCACAGTATTATTTATTGCTTTCTTTCAATAAAGTACTGATGCATTTTTCCACTGCCAATAAAACACTATTGAAAAGCTAAAGCTCTTAATTGTATGCAGGCAGATACTTTTGCGGTGAGTGGATATTGTCAATAAAGTATCTTAATGATTGTTTGCTGCCCTGTAGATATTGTTTCAAATGACAATTTTTCTCCAGTAGAAAAATGTTCTGTTGGATGTGACGTTTTCTTTGGAGTTGTCCAAGTTCACATGTGTTAATCAGTTTTTGGAAAAAAAAAATAAATCAAAAACAGTTTTCCAAAGAAAACTGCTTTATTGCCTACTTATACTAGTAGTTAGAGCTATGATTTACTTTTAAAAATAGTAAGGAAAACTATCACACAACTTCAGTGTATTCTGGTCCATGTGATGAAGATTGAAATGCTGTTCTGTACAGCAGCAACACTTGCTTTGTTAACAAAATGAGATTATGACCATAATAATATTGGGGAGAAACATAGGACTCAAGGGAGCCAATACAAAATTGGGTCACAATAGGGCTGTTTATGTCAATTTTAATATATTGTAAACCATTTCTTGTGTAGAAGAGAAGACAGAAGGATAATGTTACAGAATAACCGAAGCAGTAGTGAAGCCTATTTCATCATGTCCTCTAGATCAACAGCAGGATGTGGAATGCATGGAATGGAGAAATATTGTGATTGATGCTTTAAACATTGTTCAATAATGCATCTCTGTTTGTCTGAGCTTGTCTATATGAGTTGCTGTCCGATCATTTGCAGTCTCTTTTATATTTCCAGAGAATCTATCTTTCTAGAAAAAAAAAGGTAAAAATGGAACTGCAGAACGAGATCCTGACTCACTGTTCAGCTAAACTTCACTGTTTTTGACTTTTCCGGTCACTGATGTGATAGTAGGTGTTCAAAGTCATGTATTGTTGCTTCTCAAAGGTGAAACCAACGCGGAATAGACTTGTAAAATGTGAAAAGAAAATACGTTTATTATTTTAAGGCTGTAAACCTTAACTGTTATGGAACAATGGAATTGACATGAGAGCTAGAATAAATAAGTGAAATAGAAAAAGCTTTCACGAACTGGCAAAACTGTGTGGTGACTTCCTTCTGCTTATTTATATGGGAAAGGTATCTCAGAGAAACTCAGAAAAACACTTCTTGCTCAATTTTAATAAACCCTCCCAGAAAGACAAACACACAAATGCATGTTTAAAAGGCAGGGATATGTTACAGTAATCTTGAAATAAAGCTTTGTTAAATACAGCTTTTTGTAAATTGCCAAATGTCCTTAAAGGCTTATTTGGAGAGAGTGCTATAAAAATTAAAGTATGTGTTTTATCTGCAATAAGGGCAGGGTAGAATTATCTGTGAGAACTTTAAACTTGCAGTCTCTGCATGTTTAGAGGGCAGGGAATCTCAAAACAGATGTCATCATGTACTTGATCTTTCTCTTTTCAAGCTGATGTAAGATTAAAAGATGAGGAGTTGCTTTTGGATTTTCTTACGGACAGTGGTGATTTGTCGTGCCAACACTCAGCAGTGCACCTGTGAAGTAATTCAAAGCAGAATTTATGATCTTTTTGTTGAAACTAAAGAGTTACTTTGCCTTTAAAAGGAAACTGTTTTTTTTTTTAACTTCTTGATAATTCTGTTTTGGGGGTTGTAGTTTTGGTGCACTGCTTAAACTCAAGTTATCCTAAATGTTATTAATTTTATTTTTTATTAATAGTAACTTCTGCAAAAGAAAAAAGGGGAGGGGGGGATTATCTAATTTAGGTGGCAGCATCTTGTGGTTTTATATGGCATGTAGGAATGGATGGATGAAAAGTGGTATATAAATGTTGTTAGTATTCCCACCTGTGAAGGGAGGGACAGAGGGAGACTCTCCAAAAGGGCACAGAAACAGAACCAGCAGTAATGCCAAAAGGATCAAGGGTCTCTCAGCCCACTTTCTCTCTAGCAGACGTCTTTTTAAGAGTAAGTTTAGCCCAATTTTTAAATTATGATCTATTCAGATTACAAGGTAAATTACCCTATGCTTAATACAGGAAAAAAATAATAATTAAGCCTTTTTATACTGTGAGCTGACTGGGAATTAGAAAGTGAAAACTTGTGAAAACTGCTCATCTGGATTTTTTTTAGTCTTACCTTTTATTACAGTTTGAGTTTGTATACTTATTTGTAATGTTTTGGGGTTTTTTTTGCTAGAAATTACATTCCTTGGGAGTCTGTTTATATAAACAGCCTGTTTCTTTGCTATAAACGAATAGGGGGCCAACAACTAACTCCTGAAGCGTTCAGGCTTTAAAAACCTGTTTTTTCCTTTTGGCATCTGTTGGATTTAGATACTTTGTGCTGGGCCAAACGTGACCCTTTTTCCACTGCTAAAAAGATGATGGAAACCCATTTCCAAACTGGTGACGGTGCCAAAGTGAGTATTAAGGTTTAAGAAAAAGGAAAGAGAAGGATGTTGGGAGTTATATTTTGTGCTGTAGCCCTCTTTCAAGCCCTGACGGTGCATTTTTTTGGAAAGGTAGCCCTGCTTTTTCATCTAATTGAGATTTTAAGAGATTGGGGGACGCTATAGATTGAGAAAGATGTATATATTTTTCTCCCTGTGCTGTCTCCCCCACACACACTCCCCTGTGGTGGCTGGGCCGGGCGGGCCGCGGCGCCTCCCTCTTCCCACCTGGAGCCGCCCCGCCGTGCGGGAAGAGGAAGTGGGAGCTCGGGAGAAGCGGAAATTGCAGCAGCAGCAGCCGCCAGCCCGGGAAGCACCGGCGGGGAGCCAGGGCAGCGGCGGCCGCAGGAGGAGGAGGAGGCGGCAGAGTAAGCGGGGATGGGGGCGCGGGGCCTTCCCCGGCTCGTCGTGCCCGCCGGCGGAGCGGGGTCACACCCCCCCCCGCCTTCGCCGGAGACATCGGGTGGCTTTGTGGGGCCGGGGCGGCGGCCGGGGAGGAGGAGGAGGAGGAGGGAGGCTGTGGAGGGCCCGGCCGGGCGTTCCCCGGGTTTGGGCCCGGGGGGGAGCGGCCTCTCGTCGCAGGCCCGGGCGGGGCGGTGAAGGGCTTCTCCCCGCCGAGCTCCCTCCCTCAGGGGGCCGGGAGGGCGCTCCCCGCCGGGCAGCCGGGTCTCTGCTGGGGATAGGCCGAGCCAGGCTTACGTGACTGTCTCTCTTTTTATTTTATTTTTTTAAACTCTCTATAGCTTCCCGTAGCTCAAAGGTAACTTAAGGAAAAGCGTCTGCTGTCGGACTCTGAGGGGGCTTGGTGAAGGCAGGGGTGGCGATGAGGGGAAAAATGGGGAGATTGTGGCCTGTGGAGGAGGCCTGAGGTTATTTATCACCAGACTCAGCGAGAGGGATCTCCCTGCAAAATCTTTTTACTCCGGTGCCCTGGTGCTGCCAAGGACACGGCAAGTTGCTGGGAAGGCCAGTGGGTCCCCAGATGGTAGCCAGGCCAGGAGGAGTCCCCACTGCCCCCATGGAGACTTGGGGTGGGCCTAGAGCTGCTCCTTGGTTCCCTTCTCTGGGGAGATTGGCCTGTGGAGGAGGCCTGAGGTTATTTATCACCAGACTCAGCGAGAGGGATCTCCCTGCAAAATCTTTTTACTCCGGTGCCCTGGTGCTGCCAAGGACACGGCAAGTTGCTGGGAAGGCCAGTGGGTCCCCAGATGGTAGCCAGGCCAGGAGGAGTCCCCACTGCCCCCATGGAGACTTGGGGTGGGCCTAGAGCTGCTCCTTGGTTCCCTTCCCCTGCAGTGCTGTGTCCGGGCTTAAAGCCTCCTCATCTCCCTTTGTTCCTTCCAGGAGCTGGTCCTAGGCCCTGGAGAAGGGGGGAGTTCCTGAGGGCACCGGGTAGGATGCAGTGATTGCTGATTAGTCATAACAGCAGCAAAGAGCAGAGCTGGCCGGGTAAATTCAAAGCATATATATAGCCGTGGTTTGTGTTTTGAACCGTAGTGTTTTTCTTTTTCCTTTAGAAATTGACCATGTGAGTCAGTGACTCATAAATAGATCATATTTCTCCACATTCTGCTTTGGAAGAGATGCTGGGATAGCAAGCTGCTGCGGAAACCAGGCTGATTCCTGTAGCTCCCCTCCAGGAATCGGAGGTCTTGCCTGAGATCCCTCCTTACTAGGCTGCTTCGGACCCTTTTGTCACTCACTTTGCAGAATGCAGGCTTGAGGTCTGGAAAAATGCTGGCATTTATGTGCATAATTTAGGAAGAAACGTGGTGGATTCTGGATTTTGTAAGGGTGTGCGTGTGAAATCCTTCCTTCCTTACTGTTCGTGAGAGTTTGAGGAGGAAGCAGAGTAATCTAGAGTTAGGATCTAGCTGTGGTTTTTTTAAATGCCCAAGCACAGCTGAGTGCACAAAGCAAAACAAAATGGTCAAGTGAATGCTCGAACCAAGGACTTGGGGAAAAAAGTTAGGTTTTGCATGAAATATATAGAGCAGCCATGTGCATATGTACCTGCACTTTAGCGCTTGTCACCTGAATTCCATTTTGGAATGACTTGCCCAGCAAGCAACTTGCTTGCCGAGCCTGGAGGCAGGGATACAAGCCCATCCCTCTTAGGAGTGACAGAGGTTTGTGTTTGGTTACAGAGTTAGACCTTGGACTCCACGTTGTGTTTCCTTACTGAGCTGTTTCGGTTCCGCTTTCCAACAATATGTACTCTCACAAGCTTTCCAGATATGAAGTAATTTACTAAATGCAAGTTCCTTAATTGCGGTAGGAATTTGGAGCTGGGAGACCTGAAGAAGCAGAAAGGGAGAGGTACTACTACTTTGTAAGGGTGTCATCTGCTCTGCTCTTACACCTTCCTTTCAGGCCACTCTGTCATTTGCCACTTTGGGGTTTGACAATCAGTTTTTCAGCGGCTCTTGTTCTCGTTACCAGTCCTGAAATTTCTGAAATGCTCCATAAAACTGGCTCGTCAGCTCATTCTGTCAGGCTGCAGAGCAAGCAGTGGTTTTTTTCCTCTGTGCACTTTACCTTTAGTTTATTAGTTACTCGTTTAAAAAGGGCTTGTGCGAATTAAATAGTCCATGATCATCATACTTATAATCTATTCCTAATTAACAAAAACAAAGGTAAGTGGACAGAATGATGGTGTTAAAGAACTGAACTCTAGTGCAGTAACAAAGAAGAAAATAAATCCTTCCTCGGGCTTGTGTACCTTAAAAATCTGGGAGAACAGAAAGCTTTTTTTTGTTGTTTTTGTTTTGCTTTTAAGAATGAATTTGTTTTGATTTACCTAGAATAAAGTGTATAAAATACAGCCACTAACACCAGGCAGGTCAGGTATTCTGCTCACTAGTCACGTTCCAAAGTGTTAATTAAAAGTGTCCAACTTGATACTCTACAGGGGATAAGGTTTCCAGAAAATGAGATGGCCCAAATCATTAGCTGCTCAAAAGTGTTGAATGTTGTTTCTAGATGTTATTGCTCGCCTTTTTATGAGTTTGGCTTCCTGCTGTCAGAACTCCAGCACTTGCCCTCTGATTCTCCTGAAAGTCAGACAAGGCACTTGAGTTTGTGCACGTATTTCACAAGGGATTATCCGAGAAGCAGGTGGACTAATGTCTGGATTGCATGCAAATTCTAACAGTTGTTTGGATTTCTTTCATAATACTGAAACTCCTTACACAACAGAGGAAATGTGTAGGTTATGCTGCCTAATCATCATGCTCATCATTAGTAATGGCTGGGAAAAAAACAAGTATTCCTATGCCTTAAAAATACGCATGGGTTCTAGAATTCGTGACAATCTTTGTAAGTAGACATTGTTTTGGAGACCTGTTTGAAGAGAAGTCTTTCAGTGCAATGAATGAAAAAAAGACACGTATTAATTTGTGCGAGGAAAGCCTGCCTTGTTCTCTTTGAAATCATGTCAGTGATTGCTCCTCACCTTTTTGGAGTGCCAGTAGGAAAACCAAAAAAGGTTTTCAAACCGGCTTGAGAAGACAGCCTAAGAGCCAGCAATCGAATCTGCTTTCGCTGCAAATACAGCTCCTGTTTCTGTGGTTAAATAACATACTTCATTGGTAATTTTGGATTGGGTCTCCATCAGTTTACAGATGATATAACAAAAGTTGAGGTAACTAGAGCGTGACAGTACTTCTTCTGATGGTGTTGCAGATGTGGAAGGCTACTGTAGGCCACGCCATTTGCGTCAATCAGGATAACGGAGCCGACGACTGGGAGACGGATCCTGATTTTGTGGTATGGCTTTTGAATTTTGTTGATTCAGCAGAATTGTGTTCTGTAACACGGTCAAGAGTCATTCTTCGGGGCCGGGGGCTGTGTCTCAGCAGCATAAACTGATGGGAGCATATTCCTGGAGGGGTGGAGAATGAGGGTCCTGTGCCTGGGAGTGATTAACTGTCAGACGACCTTGTCTTGGCTGGGTACTGCAGGGAAGTCTGTTTGGAAGAGATTTGTGTCCAGAAGCATCAGCTTCTTGGGGTTGAGTGTGTCCTCCGTGCGTTTCAGCAGTGGACAAAGCACAGGGCTCTTCCCAGCAGAAGAGAAGTGAAGGTGGTATTAGCTGCTTTTCTAACTCTTCAGATCTTGCTGACTGCCGAATTTCGTTATCATCTCTAAAGTGCAGATAACTAGTAATGTCTTCAGGTTTTTAATTCTTTTTATGTGTCCTTTACAGTAAAAAAGGTTTTCAAACAGGCTTGAGAAGACAGCCTGAGAGCCAGCAATCGAATCTACTTTCGTTGCAAATACAGCTCTTGTTTATGTGGTTAAATAACATACTTTATTGGTAATTTTGGATTGGGTCTCCATCAGCTTACAGATGATATAACATAAGTTGAGGTAACTGGAGCGTGACAGTACTTCTTCTGATGGTGTTGCAGATGTGGAAGGCTACTGTAGGCCACGCCATTTGCGTCAATCAGGATAACGGAGCCGACGACTGGGAGACGGATCCTGATTTTGTGGTATGGCTTTTGAATTTTGTTGATTCAGCAGAATTGTGTTCTGTAACGCGGTCAAGAGTCATTCTTCGGGGCCGGGGGCTGTGTCTCAGCAGCATAAACTGATGGGAGCATATTCCTGGAGGGGTGGAGAATGAGGGTCCTGTGCCTGGGAGTGATTAACTGTCAGACGACCTTGTCTTGGCTGGGTACTGCAGGGAAGTCTGTTTGGAAGAGATTTGTGTCCAGAAGCATCAGCTTCTTGGGGTTGAGTGTGTCCTCCGTGCGTTTCAGCAGTGGACAAAGCACAGGGCTCTTCCCAGCAGAAGAGAAGTGAAGGTGGTATTAGCTGCTTTTCTAACTCTTCAGATCTTGCTGACTGCCGAATTTCGTTATCATCTCTAAAGTGCAGATAACTAGTAATGTCTTCAGGTTTTTAATTCTTTTTATGTGTCCTTTACAGAATGATGTGAGTGAGAAAGAGCAGCGCTGGGGAGCTAAAACTGTGAAAGGATCCGGCCATCAAGAGCACATCAAGTAAAGCAGCTCTCTTTTAAATTTATTAATAGTCACAATCCCAGGCGACTTAATCAACTCATGTTCTCGGTTACTTGTATCTTCATAATTAAAATAAGAGTCTCCTAGAAGATTCATTATTTGCCAGAGTGCTGGTCTTGCAAATATGTCAGCATCTTCAGATCTGAAATTAATCAGAACTATGGTGCAGGGACTCTTAAATCTTTCTTTATAATTGGAAATGTTACTTTTCCTGTCTCTTTGTGTCTGGAAAGTTTCTTTGTTCTGTTTTGGTGTAAGAGCCAATACTGCCAGGGGAGAAATTTGCGTTGGGTGATCTGAGCAGCTCCAGTGGTACTTTAAGGATACGTTTGGTCCCCTAATTCTTGGGCTTTGTTTAGAAAACTGCTACCAAACTCATAAAAATTCTGGCGTAGTAACAAATTGAGCCCTCTGGCAGAAAAGCAAATAAACGCATTATGAAGGGCAACATGAGACACATGATCCATCTTCTGAATCTTGGACTTTTTATGAAAAGTGTCTAAGACTTCACTTTAAAGTAGTTTTAGGAAAGCTGTGATTGTGATGTTCACTTTGGTTTTGCTTGTGTATTCCTGGGGCATCGACCCTCGTGGAATAAAGCTCAGAATAAATGTCATTAGTGTGGCAATGGAGAGGCAGAGCTGTGTGGCTTACTCCAGGGCTCAGTTTTATTCTGCCCTATTTGGAGTGCAGTGGGGACGCCTGCTGGTTGAATTATGCCTGAGAAGGCTTTAAACTCAGGTGGGAAGTGTTTTAAGGTACAGATTATCTACTCAGTTTGTCCTCCTTGTATGTGGCCTGAACTACCCTAAGTTCAATTCCTGCACGTTGCGAGGGAACGCTTGGGGAAAAGGAGGTGCAATCTCCTCACATCCTTATTTTGCATTACAGTTGTGTCCAAAATGCTCAGTTAGAATTAGAGTCCTGTTACCATAGGGACTGTCTGATAAGAGATGATCCCTATTCTGAAAAGTTGCCATCTGAATAAAAAGCGCTGGAAAGAACTTAAATTAGGGTGTGAGAAGAAAATACATTTCAGGCATATAAATTCTGTGTAATTGATTGTTTGAACAGCAAAATAACACTTTCATCTTGGTTATTTTATTTTATTTTAAGACAATGTTTTGCAGTGGAATAAATTCTGTTTCTCATAATTTAAATGAAATGCCTCGTGCACTGAAAAATAGGAAGGGCTTGAAAAATGCAAGTTGTCAAACTTTTAATTAAGATGATATTTTTAGCATCCTCCTTTTTATTTTGCATCTTTTTGAAGTTATCTTCTGAAACTTTCATAGTAGAACTCACTAATTATCTGTCTTTAAAGTATTCATCAGCTGAGAGAGAACGTATTCCAAGAACACCAGAACCTCAAAGAGAAGGAGCTTGAAACAGGACCAAAAGCTTCCCATGGCTATGGAGGGAAATTTGGTGTTGAACAAGATCGCATGGATAAAGTAAGTATGAACCCTTCCCTGGGATGATATTGTAATCCTTACCTTGCCTTGCCTGTGGCCAGCACAACTATAGATGTGAGTTAAGCTTGTTGAAGGTGCAAAGTTGTTTGTGCAAAGGTTTGGAGGTGTAGAAGCTCAAATTGTGGCATAAGCTCATTTTGAGGGCAGAAGCATGACACTTACAGTGCTCTGAACAAGAACACTTTTAGCCACTGTTACCCAAATCTGTCAGACCATCACGCTCCCTTCCCTAATTAAATCTAAATACTCCTACAGAAAGAACTGAACGAAAGCACTTGAAGCATCAGGAACAAGTATTTCAGGTGGTAAATTAGGAATCTGAATGATGAGGAGAAGTTCTGGGCTGTGCAGTGGCCCCAGATGTTTTTGTTTGATGCTTGCTCTGTCTTTAGAGCAAGTCTGCTTGCTTACGTCCTGCATGGATTCCCCTGGAGTCAAGGTTCAGGTTTCTGAAAGTGTATTTCTAAATTAAGGAAGTGCTTCATGCATGAATAAATCCATTATTTTTTTTTATTTCTGTGCTGTGCCAGCTCTTCTGTGCGTATAGAGTTTGCCAAAGAATGAAGGAAAGGGTGTGCTGAGTATTTTTTTTTTTTATTTCTATGCTGTGCCAGCTCTTCTGTGCATATAGAGGTTGCCAAAGAATGAAGGAAAGGGTGTGCTGATGCTTTAAAATTAGAGGGCAGCTCTCTTAAACGGTGGTAAACCGTGAACAGTGACAAGTTATCCCAGTATCTAAAAAATCATCAGACTTCAGTCAGATGGTAGTTTTTTACATAAGAGCATGATGGCTGTTTTAAGTTATGCTCTATTAACAAAAATAGTGATAATTCTTAAGCCACGTGACAGTTAGGCAAGTATATCCGCTGCTGGCTAGTTTCTGTCATGTACTCTGTTAAAATAAGAGCCAGACTGTTTACTGAATAAGAATGATTTTATTTTCTTCCTTTATTTACTTTCTGGGTTTCTAGCAATTTGACAGCCTTAAATTTTTTTCTGAATTCACATATTCCAGAGTAAATTGCTTTATAATTCCTGATGGGCCTTTGAACTAAGCTAATCAATCTTTTGAATCTGGGAAAGGAATTGCTGAGTAGATCCCACCATTAGGCAGCTGCGTAGTGCTGTAGTGTCAGCAGTTTATCCCTCACCTGTGTCCCTGGGGAACAAAGAAAGAAACAAAAGCTGAGTACCATTTCCTGTAGGCCAGATTAATCATCAGAAAAACCATGATGGTCACACCCGTCTGAATAGTACCGGTGGCAGGAGACATTCAGAGTTTACTTTTTAAATAAAGCTTCCTTCCTTATAGCTTCCTTATAGCTATAGTTTTAAAACCTTATTGTTGAGATCTCTCCTTCACAGTGGCTCTGTGCAGGCTTGTAGTAAGGTTTGACTCACCTGAACTAAATGAGTGTTACTGTCCTATTGTTGATGGTACAGGTTTTTGCTGTGTTTTGGACAAAACCTTGATGCTGCCTTAAAAGAGTTACATCGTTCTACGTGCCAGGCTGCCATAACTGATTTGAAATGTAGCAGAGTATTGTCCTGAGGAATTTTGAGGGCGATTTACTCTGAAATACAGATTTCCAGGAAAAATCTTTTGCTAAGTCTTTTCTAAAAATGGGTATGTTGGAATGCTTGGTATTTGATGAAGTGCAGAAAGTACTGGTACCACATAAAGAAAACATCATGCTTAAACCTTCACCTACCTCAGTTGGTGTAACAAAAGAGGGATTGTGTAAAACCACGTAAAACCTAGGGTTTTCAGAGCTTCATGTCTTCCATAAATGTAATAGGAAGAAGAAAGAGAGGTGGGAGCCTCTTCTCTCACATTTAACAGTTGCTCTACTACAGAACGCCTGCAAAAAGAACAAATAATTCAGGAAGAGAAAGGAGCTTTTATATTACTTATAAGTTAAGGAGGTGTCTTATTGCTATCCTTATTCTGTTACCTGGCAATTCCTAAGTGCTGGGAATGTTCCACCCCAGCAGCTGTGTAAAAAAATATAAATAAAAGCCTGAATTACTTACAGTTTCTGGACACCTTGTGTCCTCAAATTAATTCATCTTGGTCCAGCTGTGTGATACTGGTAGGAGATAAGCAGTTTCTCATTCTTCAAAGGTCAGAGCTTGGGGCAGCTGCAGACACTGATGGCCCATGCACGGTGCTGGGACCTGTGGTGCTGGTGCTGGTGGTGCTGCAGAGGGCTGGTGGTGGTGGTGGGTCAGGAGAGGTGTTTGTCACAGGGTGCAGCCTCTCAAGCTCAGTTTTGACACTGGACAAGAAAATAAAAGTTTGGGGCTATGTTATAGATAAGGTGCTAGGCTCTAGCTTCAGTTCCAGGACCTAGAGGGGTATCCTAGCACTGGATTAATGTAACATCAGCAAAGACTATCTGCATATCCTTTCAGGTGTGTAATTACATACCCTTGTGTCTTACCTGGAGGCGGTCACAGTGCGATGTAACCGCGCCTCGGCTTGCTGTGTTCAGCTCCAGTTCCAGGGACAGGCTTAAATGGGACACTGAGGGGCCAGGATGCCTCTAGCACCAAGAGCTCTCTCTTGATGTGGATGCACTGCTTCACGTTTCTTTGTTCTGTTTTGGTGTAAGAGCCAATACTGCCAGGGGAGAAATTTGCGTTGGGTGATCTGAGCAGCTCCAGTGGTACTTTAAGGATACATTTGGTCCCCTAATTCTTAGGCTTTGTTTAGAAAACTGCTACCAAACTCATAAAAATTCTGGCGTAGTAACAAATTGAGCCCTCTGGCAGAAAAGCAAATAAACGCATTATGAAGGGCAACATGAGACACATGATCCATCTTCTGAATCTTGGACTTTTTATGAAAAGTGTCTAAGACTTCACTTTAAAGTAGTTTTAGGAAAGCTGTGATTGTGATGTTCACTTTGGTTTTGCTTGTGTATTCCTGGGGCATCGACCCTCGTGGAATAAAGCTCAGAATAAATGTCATTAGTGTGGCAATGGAGAGGCAGAGCTGTGTGGCTTACTCCAGGGCTCAGTTTTATTCTGCCCTATTTGGAGTGCGGTGGGGACGCCTGCTGGTTGAATTATGCCTGAGAAGGCTTTAAACTCAGGTGGGAAGTGTTTTAAGGTACAGATTATCTACTCAGTTTGTCCTCCTTGTATGTGGCCTGAACTACCCTAAGTTCAATTCCTGCACGTTGCGAGGGAACGCTTGGGGAAAAGGAGGTGCAATCTCCTCACATCCTTATTTTGCATTACAGTTGTGTCCAAAATGCTCAGTTAGAATTAGTCCTGTTACCATAGGGACTGTCTGATAAGAGATGATCCCTATTCTGAAAAGTTGCCATCTGAATAAAAAGCGCTGGAAAGAACTTAAATTAGGGTGTGAGAAGAAAATACATTTCAGGCATATAAATTCTGTGTAATTGATTGTTTGAACAGCAAAATAACACTTTCATCTTGGTTATTTTATTTTATTTTAAGACAATGTTTTGCAGTGGAATAAATTCTGTTTCTCATAATTTAAATGAAATGCCTCGTGCACTGAAAAATAGGAAGGGCTTGAAAAATGCAAGTTGTCAAACTTTTAATTAAGATGATATTTTTAGCATCCTCCTTTTTATTTTGCATCTTTTTGAAGTTATCTTCTGAAACTTTCATAGTAGAACTCACTAATTATCTGTCTTTAAAGTATTCATCAGCTGAGAGAGAACGTATTCCAAGAACACCAGAACCTCAAAGAGAAGGAGCTTGAAACAGGACCAAAAGCTTCCCATGGCTATGGAGGGAAATTTGGTGTTGAACAAGATCGCATGGATAAAGTAAGTATGAACCCTTCCCTGGGATGATACTGTAATCCTTACCTTGCCTTGCCTGTGGCCAGCACAACTATAGATGTGAGTTAAGCTTGTTGAAGGTGCAAAGTTGTTTGTGCAAAGGTTTGGAGGTGTAGAAGCTCAAATTGTGGCATAAGCTCATTTTGAGGGCAGAAGCATGACACTTACAGTGCTCTGAACAAGAACACTTTTAGCCACTGTTACCCAAATCTGTCAGACCATCACGCTCCCTTCCCTAATTAAATCTAAATACTCCTACAGAAAGAACTGAACGAAAGCACTTGAAGCATCAGGAACAAGTATTTCAGGTGGTAAATTAGGAATCTGAATGATGAGGAGAAGTTCTGGGCTGTGCAGTGGCCCCAGATGTTTTTGTTTGATGCTTGCTCTGTCCTTAGAGCAAGTCTGCTTGCTTCCGTCCTGCATGGATTCCCCTGGAGTCAAGGTTCAGGTTTCTGAAAGTGTATTTCTAAATTAAGGAAGTGCTTCATGCATGAATAAATCCATTATTTTTTTTTATTTCTGTGCTGTGCCAGCTCTTCTGTGCGTATAGAGTTTGCCAAAGAATGAAGGAAAGGGTGTGCTGATGCTTTAAAATTAGAGGGCAGCTCTCTTAAACGGTGGTAAACCGTGAACAGTGACAAGTTATCCCAGTATCTAAAAAATCATCAGACTTCAGTCAGATGGTAGTTTTTTACATAAGAGCATGATGGCTGTTTTAAGTTATGCTCTATTAACAAAAATAGTGATAATTCTTAAGCCACGTGACAGTTAGGCAAGTATATCCGCTGCTGGCTAGTTTCTGTCATGTACTCTGTTAAAATAAGAGCCAGACTGTTTACTGAATAAGAATGATTTTATTTTCTTCCTTTATTTACTTTCTGGGTTTCTAGCAATTTGACAGCCTTAAATTTTTTTCTGAATTCACATATTCCAGAGTAAATTGCTTTATAATTCCTGATGGGCCTTTGAACTAAGCTAATCAATCTTTTGAATCTGGGAAAGGAATTGCTGAGTAGATCCCACCATTAGGCAGCTGCGTAGTGCTGTAGTGTCAGCAGTTTATCCCTCACCTGTGTCCCTGGGGAACAAAGAAAGAAACAAAAGCTGAGTACCATTTCCTGTAGGCCAGATTAATCATCAGAAAAACCATGATGGTCACACCCGTCTGAATAGTACCGGTGGCAGGAGACATTCAGAGTTTACTTTTTAAATAAAGCTTCCTTCCTTATAGCTTCCTTATAGCTATAGTTTTAAAACCTTATTGTTGAGATCTCTCCTTCACAGTGGCTCTGTGCAGGCTTGTAGTAAGGTTTGACTCACCTGAACTAAATGAGTGTTACTGTCCTATTGTTGATGGTACAGGTTTTTGCTGTGTTTTGGACAAAACCTTGATGCTGCCTTAAAAGAGTTACATCGTTCTATGTGCCAGGCTGCCATAACTGATTTGAAATGTAGCAGAGTATTGTCCTGAGGAATTTTGAGGGCTATTTACTCTGAAATACGGATTTCCAGGAAAAATCTTTTGCTAAGTCTTTTCTAAAAATGGGTATGTTGGAATGCTTGGTATTTGATGAAGTGCAGAAAGTACTGGTACCACATAAAGAAAACATCATGCTTAAACCTTCACCTACCTCAGTTGGTGTAACAAAAGAGGGATTGTGTAAAACCACGTAAAACCTAGGGTTTTCAGAGCTTCATGTCTTCCATAAATGTAATAGGAAGAAGAAAGAGAGGTGGGAGCCTCTTCTCTCACATTTAACAGTTGCTCTACTACAGAACGCCTGCAAAAAGAACAAATAATTCAGGAAGAGAAAGGAGCTTTTATATTACTTATAAGTTAAGGAGGTGTCTTATTGCTATCCTTATTCTGTTACCTGGCAATTCCTAAGTGCTGGGAATGTTCCACCCCAGCAGCTGTGTAAAAAAATATAAATAAAAGCCTGAATTACTTACAGTTTCTGGACACCTTGTGTCCTCAAATTAATTCATCTTGGTCCAGCTGTGTGATACTGGTAGGAGATAAGCAGTTTCTCATTCTTCAAAGGTCAGAGCTTGGGGCAGCTGCAGACACTGATGGCCCATGCACGGTGCTGGGACCTGTGGTGCTGGTGCTGGTGGTGCTGCAGAGGGCTGGTGGTGGTGGTGGGTCAGGAGAGGTGCTTGTCACAGGGTGCAGCCTCTCAAGCTCAGTTTTGACACTGGACAAGAAAATAACAGTTTGGGGCTATGTTATATATAAGGTGCTAGGCTCTAGCATCAGTTCCAGGACCTAGAGGGGTATCTTAGCACTGGATTAATGTAACATCAGCAAAGACTATCTGCATATCCTTTCAGGTGTGTAATTACATACCCTTGTGTCTTACCTGGAGGCGGTCACAGTGCGATGTAACCGCGCCTCGGCTTGCTGTGTGCAGCTCCAGTTCCAGGGACAGGCTTAAATGGGACACTGAGGGGCCAGGATGCCTCTAGCACCAAGAGCTCTCTCTTGATGTGGATGCACTGCTTCACTTTGTGATGCCATTTCTCAAGTGAGGAGAAAGTATAGAGAGAAGATGTCTAATTCTGATTTATGCAGAAGATAGGGTGCCTCCCTAAAAGAATGTTGATAGAAAACCTAGCTGCAGTTGTACTTGGTTGCAATCTAATATCAGCTAAAAGAGAACTGTAGCTATGTGCCTAAAAACAAAGCTGTGTGTTTTATCTGGATCTAATCCCTATTTGAAATTCTGCATGAACAGCATCAAGGTTCTGTCATTTTATCTGGAACTAATTCTGCATGAACAGCATCAAGGTTCTGTCTGTGTCTTTTTTGTTTTCAGTCCTGTGGTTTTGAAGTAAAAATCCAGAGTGTAAAGGAGTCTTCATAAAACACAGTCCTTGCTGTCAGACTCTTTCTGGGCACTTCCCTGGCCTGGGTTGCATTGATACCACGGTGACAGTCTTGTAAATACTACTCAAGTGAGTAGCAATTGCCAGGGAAGTTATTTTCAACAGGAAAAGTGGTGATGATGTGTGTTTGTAACGAAACTTACCCTCACGTTGCGTGGTTGCAGTGTTTTCTCTTACATACAGAATTGTATAGAACTGCTGGCTGTTTCTGAACTTTCCAATCTCTTTCAGTCAGCTGTTGGCCATGAATATCAATCCAAGCTTTCCCAGCATTGCTCTCAGGTGGATGCTGTGAAAGGGTTTGGTGGGAAGTTTGGAGTACAAACCGATAGAGTTGACCAGGTAAGCAGTTTCATCTCATCCTGCAGCTATTATTTGCAGTAATTCAGTTTATTGTTTTGTATATTCAGCTGACAATTTCCAATACCTTAAAATGCTGGTGTGGTTATTGGTAGCGCGGTGACAGTCTTGTAAATACTGCTCAAGTGAGTAGCAATTTCCAGGGAAGTTATTTTCAACAGGAAAAATGGTGATGATGTGTGTTTGTAACGAAACTTACCCTCACGTTGCGTGGTTGCAGTGTTTTCTCTTACATACAGAATTGTATAGAACTGCTGGCTGTTTCTGAACTTTCCAATCTCTTTCAGTCAGCTGTTGGCCATGAATATCAATCCAAGCTTTCCCAGCATTGCTCTCAGGTGGATGCAGTGAAAGGGTTTGGTGGGAAGTTTGGAGTACAAACCGATAGAGTTGACCAGGTAAGCAGTTTCATCTCATCCTGCAGCTATTATTTGCAGTAAGTCAGTTTATTGTTTTGTATGTTCAGCTGACAATTTCCAATACCTTAAAATGCTGGTGTGGTCACCTCTTCCTGCTGTATTCAAAGTTTAGCAGTAAGCTCATGCTGACTGTTTGGTAGATAAATTTCTGTTTAAAGCAAAGTGTATAAAACAGCCCTTATGGGAAATTGAAATGAGTTGAAAACTAAAAAGAGATCTTAAAATACGCCTTTTAGCCAGGCTGTGTTCTTTAATGAAGATAAAATCAGTGTGAATGCTACAGAAGGAGGAGGGATTTGGGGATGTTTTGTCCTGTATTGCAATATGAGCTACTGGGCAGGATAATTGGCATCCCGTTCCAAGACTGTTTAACAACCTCAGCATGGAAATGCTGAATTCCTGTTGTTCTGAATTGCTGAACCTGGCAAGACTACAGTATGTTGCTGAAACAGTTTGCTTTGGCAAGGGGTGACAAAAACCCTTGCCACGAATACATGTACTAAATTATGATGTAAATGAACATGACCTGTAAGTTAAATAGGTATTTATGTTCCAAATCAAGGGGGTCAGAGCAGTATGGAAAGACAGAAAATTTCCATGCTGTTGGTCCATTGAAGTGCATGGGGTTTTTCTACTAATATCTAACTCTTTGTTACACATACATTTTTATTTCTCTTCCAGTCAGCTGTTGGATTTGAATATCAGGGGAAAACTGAAAAGCATGCCTCCCAAAAAGGTAAGGTGGTGAGGAGGTCACCTCTGTAGATACACATTTTTTATAAATAATAGAATAGATCTCTGTTCTTCTACTGTTTGTGAAAGACCTTGTTTAGTAAGGCCTCACCATGGTGTCCTCAGTGAATCAAATGCTGAGGGGTTTTGCTGGAAGAGAAGATGAAAAAATAAATTTCAAAGTGGTTTCATGAGTTGATGAAGTTTTAAGACAAGGAAATAACCTGTCATCATGAGTCTTACTTTTCTTTTAGAAAGGGGATTCAAGGACATTTTAGAAAGATTGGGAATTTTTCATTGCTGTATTGCACCCTGTTGGAAATGGGGAGTAGATTTAAAAGGAACCATCATAAACTATAGGACTGTTGCCCATCTTATTTTCTGTGTTTAAAATTAAACTTGATTTTATGTGCTAATGAGTAATATTCCGCTCAATTGCTAGGATATGATGTTTCTATTAAAAGCTTCTTAATTTAATTTTTATTGTGCTTTGCTCTGAATGCAGACTACTCAAGTGGTTTTGGTGGAAAATACGGAGTACAGGCTGACAGGGTGGACAAGAGCGCGGTGGGGTTTGATTACCAGGGTAAAACTGAGAAACACGAGTCGCAGAAGGGTGAGTAGGCACACGTGTTGGTGGGTTTGTACTCTGAGGTGTTCATGATAGGCACTGTTGTAAAATTCTCATTTTTTTTTACATCTGTTGCACTCCTAACCTGCTGAAAGTTAGCTTTGAATAAAAGGTATGCTGCTGAAAACTTTGACTCCTGAAAAAGAAAGCTAAAACATGGGTTCTGACTGGTTTTAAGTGATGATCCAACTGCCATTACTTTAGGAACGGGGTACCTGGGTTTGTCTGGAAGTTTTTTGCAACTTCTTTTGAAAAGCTGTAGATTACAGTATTGAGACTGTAAGCAGTTTAACCACAACAGAGAAACATTTCTAGAAGAATCAGCTGTTTATAGATTAAAACGTTGAAGTTGGTAGTGTTTAGAGTTAATATTGTGTTGCTAATCAGGTTTCCAGGCATATCTGATCAAAAATCGACCATTTTATTGGAAAATTTTGACATTTTTGCCATCTGTTTTCGGTGTATCTCAAAGAAATGTTTGCACTCTAGAAATGCTGAGGAGGAGAAGGAGGTGTTTGTTTAAAAGCATCCAGGCTGTTGCTGACATGGTTTCTGAACTTCACTTTGCTATAAGTGTCTTCAGAATCTTATCAAGGAGTCAAGTGGCAGAATTGCTGATACTGCCCAGGAGTTGAACTACATATGATGCTATTTTATTTTCCATCCTGAGAGAACATATTCTGAAGGATTCATGATTTCAGTGTCTGGAATTAAGATTAAGTGGGGATGTCAGTGCTTCTTTTAATACGTAATGTAATGTTAGCAGGTTTGACTGTCACAGTTTTTCAAGGTAATATTTTGTTATTGAACACTTACAAACAAAACTCTTCACTCTTATCTCTAGATTATTCCAAGGGCTTTGGTGGTAAATACGGTGTTGACAAGGACAAAGTGGACAAAAGTGCTGTTGGCTTTGAATATCAAGGCAAAACGGAAAAACATGAATCACAGAAAGGTTTTTATTATCTTGTTTAAAAATACTAGTTCAAATCAATCAGCATTTTAAACCTGGGTAAAAAATATTTCATTTGGGATTTTTTGGTGGTAAATATCTGTTTGCCCTTTGTGTATGCAGATTTTTGTTTCCCTTAAATGAAAAGGCAGGCGTTGTAAACTGTCCCTGAGTTTCACAATCTGATTTCTAAGGAACCTCATGTCCATATGGATGTTATTGAAATAAATATGTAATTGCACAGATCTATAGTATTCAGAGGCACTATGAAGTCCTTCAGTATTTATATATCAACCTGGCACACGTGTTTGTGTGTATTATATGTCTTTAAGTGGAAGGTGCATCAGATTCTTCAAATCTCAGAATATTATTGAGCCTGTATGCTGTAATCGTTACTGGATTCGTGGTGCTTCCTTGTATTGTGATCCTAGAGTTACTGACTGGGTGTCCTTCCCTCTGTGGAGGTAGTGTAGCAGAAGGAAAGAGAGTAACATTACTGAGAGGGCAGCTTATCCCATAACACGTTACTGTTTGGTTTTTTTTTTTATTAAATACTGCTTACAGTCCTAAACTGCAATAATGTTTTCTGAAACTTCGTGCATACAGATTATGTAAAGGGATTTGGAGGCAAGTTTGGAGTGCAGACAGACAGACAAGACAAATGTGCACTTGGCTGGGATCACCAGGAGAAAGTGCAGCTGCATGAATCCCAGAAAGGTATATCCGTTTGCAATTCTCTGCCATTCTGTCTGACTTCCCTCATTTTGACTTTTCCCTGTGTGAACCCTCCTCCCCTGGTATCCTTGGCCAACACCTTACAGTAGCTGACATGAGTCTCCTTTTTCTGTGTTTGAAAGGTTGCTGTGTACTGGTTGTACTGGTGTCTGCAAAGCAGGTTTAACACATTTGGGTTGCTGCAAGTTCAGACTTCGGGATAAGCTCTCACTGCAAAACTTTCATGGGTCTGCCCGTAGCCTGGATTATTTTTTTCCTTTTTCAGTTGAGTTGTGCAAACCACAAAGTAGCAATTCCTTTGTACCTTCCACAAGTGATCTCCCTTTTCTGGTTTCTGGTATCTATACCCTGATTTTCGTGTGTGGAAAATCTAATACTCTCTTTTCTCGTTGCTTGTGAGGTACCTATTCCTATAAAATACTGGTACCCAGTAGAAAAGTTGCAAATTACCGATTGCTCCCCAGCCCTCTGCCTGCCACCACTCTTAACTTAAAGAAATTTAATTAATTTATTATATATTTTTTTAAAAATTAAATCAAAAATGATCCTCGGATTATTGTGCTGTTGGATGCTCCAGTAGATCTGTTGTGAGCTGATTATCTGCAGCCCTTTTTTTTCTGCCCTTATTTTATATCAAAAATTATCATGGCTGTTCTAAGGCTGTAGGAGGGAATGGCCATAACTCTTAGCTGAGCTTTTTTTCCTCAAGCTGTGACACAGCAGGAATATTCCTTCTTCCTTTAAACAGTGCTGTGTAATAATACCTGAAGGATAGTCTCTGTGGACCCTATCTTAACACCTCTTTAAAAATCAGATCTGTAGTGTACAAATGTTAACCACACTGATGAAGGAAGCTCATTATATTTTCTTGTATCCTTTTGTATGTTGTTTTGTTTTGGTGAATATACTATGTGTGTGTTTGTGTTCATAATTTTGATCAAATGCAAGTGCATTATGCAGTATGTATGAAAAATGTTGAGAAGTGCTTTTTTTCTGTGACTTCAGAATGGTGTTCTTATGTCTGATAAATCGTGTTGACCTCTTCTTAATCTCAAGTGGAAACTTCTTTTGAATTTACTCTTACAAAAATGTATTGAGATTTATTTTTTTTTTCCACCATCCAAAATTACTGGTAATTGAGAAATACTGCAAAAATTACTTTGAGTGTCTCTTTCTAAACTTCTTTATTTTCCTCCCTTCATTTTTAATTTATTACATGTGGCTTTTTCAGACTATAAGAGTGGTTTCGGAGGGAAATTTGGTGTACAGACAGAAAGGCAGGACCCATCTGCTGTGGGGTTTGATTACAAGGAGAAACTAGCCAAGCATGAATCTCAACAAGGCACCGTTTTCACTTGTTACTTTCTTAACAGTGCAGCCACTTCTCACACAGTCTTCAATAGTTGTCTGAGTAGATTGATGCTAGTAATTGTGCGGACACTTTCTTGCGCTTCTATTTCTACATGATCTAGCAATGTTCTTCCATTTTATTCTTAAAATGTTGCATAAAGCAAGCCTGTATTCAGGAAACAGATATCCAATGTTTTAGTTAACAGCTCTACAACATTATGCATTTAGTTAATAGCTATACCTACACTGTGATAATAACGACATTACTGTGTCTAGTATTATTAGTATGATGTTAATGACGTCGTGCTTACCAGTTTTAGAGTCTAAATGTGAAGTTTTGCCTAGATAAATGGGTGGAAAAATATTCCGATAAGGACCATGCATGTAACCTTTAACAAGCAATGGGTTATGGCAAGATCATTTTAAAATTATTGTAGTCTTTAAAACAAGAAGTAGGGAATGTTTGTGGTTCTTGGGTGAGCAAATACTGTTATAATGCTCTCTTTATTCATTGTGAAATAGTTGGGGTACAAACCATGAATTCCTGGTTTTCCGTTATCTTAAAGTGAGAAGTCTGGATCAGGAAAATGTAAGTGTAGTATATTTATTCTGGCTGAAAATACATACAAAGCTGAAGAAAATGAGGTTGTTCATTCTGATAGTCAATATTTTTTCTTTGCTACAGTGACACAAATTCAAACTTTTAGAGTGTCAGATGTGCCTTAGGAGAGCCCTAGTACAAACACTAAAATAGCTGGTTTAGGGGACCCAAGTGCTTTTGGGGCTGAGAGGAGAAGGGGTAATTATAATTGTATTCCAGGGACGTGTAGGAAAGCCTGTCCATCTCCAGAGTCTAAGGGGACATTCCTACAGCTCACTGCCACCAGAAAGAGGTGTTTTTCCAGCCACACGTTCTTGCCGCTTCTATTGTGCTGGCTCTGAGTACAGCTCACTAGAAAGAGCAGAAAGCTACTCTTGTTAGGGTTTATTTCTTGTTTTTCTTGTTAACGCCACTAGTGAGTTTAAACTGATTTTGGAGTAACAAGTACTGGAGTCAGCAGGAGGTGAGAGTAAGAGTGTGTAGCTCAGGGGTGCTATGGAATAACGTGGCCACCCCATTTCTGTGGTGGTGAGTTGTTGCAGGCTCATGCTGTCTGGTGGAATTGCCCCTTTCCATATGTAGAACAAGAGTGATTACTAATGACTTTAATATTCATCAGTTGAGTGTCACGACTAAACCCACTGGGATGAGAAATTTGTTACGTTTTCCTGCCATTCGTAGAATTTGCCAAGTTAAAGAGAATAAAACACCTCTGTGGTCACCGAAGACTGGGTATCGCTCCTTTGAGCAAAGCAAAATGGCTTAGGTTATACCATTACTGCAGAGGGCTAAGAATTGGTGCTGTGAAAGGCTGTGTTACAGAAGTGATGCATTAGAAGGGCTCATCCCTTATTCCTTGCTTGTTACCTTATCAGTCCTCAGCTTAATGTTTACTCAGAGAATGCATGTGGCCCACAATCTGTCATCTGCTGGTGTACCTGAAGGCTCTTGCAGTTATGTATCCTTTCTGCATCAAAAACCAAGTTGCATTTTCTTTGGCGGCTGTCACTGTATCTCTGCATGCAGCTGAAATGGCTATTTGCATTTGAGATGGCTCTTTGCATTTGGCAGAAAGATGGGAGGGACAAGAAGCTCCCTACTCTAACCTCTTTGTCCTGCTTTTAGATTATTCGAAAGGATTTGGTGGGAAGTATGGTGTACAGAAAGATCGGATGGATAAGGTAATTTGCTTAAAAGAGCCATGATTTAAATAGTCTGTAAGGATATAAAATAGTCTGGTTAGATCTGTAGAGTTCAGCTCTTTATTTCTGGATACTTCTCCAGTCTAACAGTAGAGTTCTTTCCTTTCCTAATTCTTTCAAAGTTTATACACACAGAGCTGATGCCAGTTAATAGACACACATGTGTGTGTACATATGTGTAGTGTATATATATATATTTAAGGAGGGAAAAACTGAAGCATGGAAATGAAACGATAGCAAAACTTATGTGAAAGAATGAGAAAATTCATTAATTCCACAATTTCAATCATGTCTTCTAGCAACTGGCTAATGCCTTATATTTTGAGGATATCCTTTTAGTGGACTGCTTAAAATAGGTGTCTGATATCGATCTACCAACTTTGCACACTTTGATTATGAGGGACCTTCTCTTTAGGAGAATTTGGTTTAGTTTTCTATAACAGTGGAGGGTAAGGCAGCTGGTACCTTCTTTTTACCTCTCCATTTTTAAATTTAAAAGAAGATGAGAAAGTCCTCAACGAGGTTTATCTACTGAATAAATTTACTCTCAGCTTTATGTAGGACACTCAAAAGTGAGAAAGTAGAGGAGTTTGAAAGTCTGTAGGATTTTTTTACTTGTACCGAGGTTTATAAATTTACTCTCAGCTTTATGTAGGACACTCAAAAGTGAGAAAGTAGAGGAGTTTGAAAGTCTGTAGGATTTTTTACTTGTGGCTTCAGGACTCAAGACCATTCATTTAAAAATAACCCCAGTTTTTGAATACTGTTCTCAAAATACTCCCTCTATTTTAACAGGATCTGCTTCTTTAAGGGAACTGGATACTTTTACCTTGGTAGAAGTGCTACATAATGTGGATTAGAACAGAAACATCTGCACAATAAATGTTTTGGACAGTGCCTCATTTTTAGTTTTGATGAATGATCTGTTCATAAGCCACATTTTTTTTTTTTAATTAATAGGATTTATTTGTGTTTAAAACTGTCCCTGAATATTAATTAATTAATAGGATTTACTTGTGTTTAAAACTGTCCCTGAATATTAATTCTTATGTAGTTTGACTTAACAGAAAGAATTATTCCACTTGTCCCGTTATGATTCTTCCTGATTTTGTTTTGGTGTTCTGAAAAAAAAAAAAAAAGCCATTGGGGCAGTATCACAATAAAATGTCACAGATTAAATCTGTCTGAATGTTTTCACGTATTTGTGGTTTTTAACTGTACTCTTTTTGTATCAACTATCTATATTGATAGAATGCAGCAACTTTTGAAGATATTGAGAAACCAACATCAACTTACCAGAAGACCAAGCCAATAGAAGCTGGTAAGGCCTTGGCCCCAAATCCTTTCTTTGGAGGTGATAATGTTCAAAAGCCCAGGATATTATTGTGATGTAGTAGTGCTGAGTAAGAATCATCTGGAGGGAACTGCTGTATTTGCAGGTCTCTAGCAACCTCAGCTACTCTCTCCCTCCCACCTTTAGAGGTTGTTTTGCTTTGTTGTTTTTTTTTTCTTCTCCTTGAGAGTTGTGAGGAAAGGGAAAATAAAAAGCATCCGAATGGAGAATAGGCTGCATAGGGAGCAGAGTGATGGAGACTGTACCATGAAGGAGAGGAGGGAGAAGTGTTGCAGAGGTTTTTATATGGAAGAAATGTAGTGCACAAGAAGTTTGGGCTTGGAAGGGGAGAGGGAGAAAGAGGGATAGAAGGAGTTTCCTGAATGGGCTGTGAGCTCAGAGAGCAGAAAAGCAGAAACATGTTCAATCCTAACAGAAATTTGTGCCAAAACCTCATTCCACCCTACCTTTATACAGAACCTTAAACGACAACATTTGGCTTCAATTTTTTTTTTTTTTTTTTAAATGTTACAGTTGCTAATAAAACAAAAAGCATCCGAGCTAACTTTGAAAACCTAGCCAAGGAAAAGGAGCAGGAAGACCGAAGGAAGGCTGAAGCTGAGAGAGCACAAAGAATGGCCCGGGAGAAACAAGAACAGGAGGAGGCTCGAAGGAAACTGGAGGTCAGTAATTTGAGCAGTGTGTCTAGTCTTGTTTCAGTGCAATGTTGGCAGAAAAGAGAATCTTATAAGAAAAGATACTTTTCTTCTTTTCAGCCAGGCCTTAAAGCTCTTTGTGTGTTTGCTTGTGTTTGTACCTGAGGTTTCTTAACCTGTTTGTGAATCCAGCCATCTCTCAGCATGCACCATATGCATATCAGACCTCAGACAGGGTGACAGGGTAAAACTTTATGCTATATAATTTTTTTATTTAGCCTATCCCAAAATATATATGCTAGTCTTGACCTCCTAACTTTGCAGCCTGACCTTTTCCTGTTGTACTTCTGCCTTTTGGTGATACCAGACTCCTTTGGGCACAGAGGAGCTCATAAGGGGAGAGACATGTTGTCCCCAAAAGGCCCTGTATGAGTGATTATTCCTGAAGTTTAATACCATGATAATAGTTGGTTATGCAGGTTTTATGGAAGTATTGTGGAAGATGGAGGTGCTACCACTCATTAGTATAGCACACACCCATGAGGGAAATAGTATTCTAAATGTTAATTGAATCTTAGTTTGAGAATTAAGAAAATTAGCGTAGCATTGGCATGGCTAAAAGCTTAGTGATTTCTGTGTTATTCTAAGCAAAATAATTCCAGGAAATGTTTAGTCAGAAACTACCTCTTACCTGCTTTGTAGAATTTGTGTATTTGGTGAAACTCTGCTGCTGAGATGGATGGACTAGTGCATTAATAGCAACTTGCCCTTCTTGTTCTTGTTCGTTTGCTTTGTTAGACAGTTCCTGAGGTGCCTTATTGTCAGCAATCCCGAGGGTCTGCTGCCTGTGGCTGTGTAACCTTTCCAGCTGAAGCAGTGTTTGTCCAGAGCCTCTGTGGCAGTTTCCCTTGTGGTCCCATGCTGTTATTCTGATTTCTTGGCCTCACACTGATATTATAGCAGGGAGCAGGAAGCAAGCAATGCTGGCGTAAGAGTAGTCCCTCCTTCCCCTTCTCTTTTGCTTCTTATTTTACAGATATTAGTTTATACTAGAGAATACTGGACATAGGACACAGAAAGATAGGAGTCTTTTAAATTCTGAATAAATGCTACTTAGCCTTATATATGCACTGAGACTTAACAGCCAACCTGTATGCAATGCTGGTAGTGAAATAGCATGTTCCAGCTAGTGCTAATAGTGTCCCAAACGTGAATAGCCAGTAGGGAGATTGTACTCAAGGACATGCACAGGAAAAATGATCATCTTCATCATTGCCACTTGCTATACTGAAGGGATCCCTCCCCAAGGAGAATGCTTGTCTGGGACCCTCATCACTGCTCTTACTGACTGGGCGTGGGGGAATTTTCCTATTTTCTTCTTTCTTCTCTCTCTCTTTCTCCTGTTTTTATTTTCCATCAAAAGTATCTTTCATCATTAGAGCCAATGTCTGCTGCCAGCTGCAGACCCCACTAATAAATCTTCTTGCATATGAACTTGTCTCAGCATCCTCTGTGAGACATCTGGAATCCAGGACAGGCTGTCAGATGGTTTCTCAGATCTGTTCAGTCCTTTGCCTAGTGACAAACGGGGCAGACCCAATGACTGGCTTCTCAGATGTGGTAGATACTTCCTCTTGGGGGGATGCTGCTGCAGGATATCAGGGTGTGGTGTTCATCCTGTTCCATCCAAATTCGGGCTTGGTGTAAATAATTCGTTTTACAAGTATGAAAAACTAAATGCATGGTAGGCTTATGGCAACCGAGCTCCCATCTTCCTAAACTGAGAAAAATATATTGCAGTGAAACTGCATGTTATTTCATATTAACTCAGCTGGCCTAAACCAGCATGGCTGCTAATGGCAGCACTCTCGAGCCACTTTATTCCTTATGCCAGCAAAGCATCTGTGTAGTCACACAAAAGAGGAAAATGAAGCCTAACAAATAAAACATGTAGTTAACCTAAATCAGTTCCCCTGCCTGCTTCTTTGGTTGGCTTCTCAACTCTGCTGTTCCCCGGCCAGTGCTGCTTCTGAAATAACTCTGTACTTTTGCTGTGCTGAAACTGCATGGCCCATGTATCTTCTGTATAGTTTCATTTCTGAAAACTAATAACTTCCTTTGGAGTTCTGTTTGAAATTTGGGAAATTCTAGTTTTATAGTATAAATCAAGTCTCTCTATCTAAAGTTATTTCTGGTTTGGTTTTTTTTTTCAGCTTATCACCTCTTTTGCCTTATGGTTTCAAGATGTACAGTGTGAGCATATGTTCACTGCAATACATGTTTCCCAAGATGAATGGGAGTTCATCTCTGTGTATTAGTGATTTCTTCTAAGCTGCCCTTCATCCCTGTGTACTTTGTGGATTTCTAGTACCTTACCCCAACTACTGTTTGGGTTTCTTTACTGTTCTTGAGAAAAACACGTTACACCTTTTACACAGCAACTGCCACTCTTTTATAGCTGGGAGAAGAAGAGATAAAGAGCTGAAGTTGAGAATTCAGTCTTTTTTATTTGATAATGTCAGAAAGTCTGTTCCAGGGAGCTGCTCTGTTAGTCACTTCAGACTGCTCTGTGTCAACACACAACTCTCTGAAGTTCTCCAGCACTGAGCCACACAGAGAAAAGTTGAACGTTTGCCTTGAGGAGAGTCCCTTGGCTTCCCTCTCCACCTCTGTTAGTCACTTCAGACTGCTCTGTGTCATTCTCAGCATTGGCACCAGCCTCCAGCACTGAGCCACACAGAGAAAAGTTGAACGTTTGCCTTGAGGAGAGTCCCTTGGCTTCCCTCTCCACAGCTTTAACACTGAAATTCACCCAGCCCGTAGAGTTGCTCTGGGAGCTCTTCAGATGAGAAAAGTTAAATGCCTCAGCACTTGCTCACTCAGTCACAGCAAAATGCTATCAGCATGTGTCACCACCTTCTGGTGTGGCCATTCAGCTGGTAGCCACGTAGCTCCTCTAGCTATTGACAGGCTGTCTCTGCTCCTCAACTGCTGTCTGCTGCTCCCAGCATCTTTCAGTGTGTTTAAGCTTATGCATTGCCAGTCTCTAGGTCTAGCACCTGGTTGTTTCCATGACAAAGTGATTTTTCACTCCTCATCCTCCCCACTCCTTGTCCTTACCACCGACACTGCAACTCTAGTTGAAGAGCTGTAGTCCCTCAGCTCTGGGGTCCGTGCTGTGGAATGACAAAGAATGGGAATGAATATTCTTTTTAAACACAACTTGGAGACAACCTTGAGGTGTACATTGCTCTTGAAAGTGCAGCTTTGCTCCTCCTTCAAGAGATCTCCCTTTTCTTGGCACTTGTTTTCCTCTGTCAGCACACTGGATCGGGATAGCATTAGGACTTGTGACTTATAGGAAGCAGCATTGTTATCTTTGTGGGATTTAGTTTAGTAGATGCATTTACAGTTCTCCAAATAAGGAAGAACCATGATATAGGTTGATGTATAAGGCCATTCTGCACCCATGAGATCACTTTGGACAGCCTTTACTTCCAGTTACTGCTGAGAAGTATCGGTCCCAAAGGAAAATGGACTTTCTTGGCATTCCTCATGCTCTTTCATTTCTTTCTCTGAGGTGTGTATCTTTATCTGGCAGTAACTCCATTCCATCATCTCAATTTCTGCTTCATTCTCAGACAGTAGTGATCTTAGGACTTCTCAGTTAGCCTGTCTAAAGCTTCTTAGGTCATCTTCAAGATGCTGATGGTATTTGAGAGGCAACACTCCTCAACCAAGGACTGTTACTTCCTTACTTTGATTTGGTTGTTTTAGGAGATTCTACAAAAGACCAGTCCTTGTAAACAGTGCAGTCCATCCTTGAATGCCTGGGTCTTAAAGTAAATGTTCTGAAGTCAAAAACTTGACTTGTTATCACAGAGCAATTACTGATTCTCAGAGGGTAAGAGTTCTTTTGTTGCAGGATCCCAGGGTACTTTGTCCTTAACTCAGTGCTTCACTTCTTAGGCAACTACCTCATGAAAGTGTCTCTTTGCTAGGGCATGTGACAACTCTTGATACCTCAGACTGATGTTTTCTGTACTTTTTATCTGTTTTTTGCTCTGCACCCTTGCTAGAAGCAGGTTGACATTTCCTCAAGATGCAAGGAGGTACTTCATGTGGTGGCAGCTGTGTCTCCAGGGCCATGCCCTTTATGTTACTCTGCCATGACAAGTAGGGATATCAGTATATTCTAAAATACTACCCGATTTTATTGCATCATGGTTGAATTTCAGGAGAAGCAGCAGTTATGTGCCAGTGCTCTGGAGATCTGGTCCATTTTGAGGACAGAGCTTTCATGCTTTGCTTGTGAGTGATGACAGTCTAATATAGCTTGGGAGAGATCCTCTGTTCTCTCAAAGCAACAGTTGCCCTGATAAGTGTTGGGGGGGGGACACACAACTCTCTGAAGTTCACACGTGTCAGTCCTTCAGCTCTGATAGATGAGCTGTCTTGCAGTCCTTAGTGAGAAGTGGAAAATCTGCTCTGGTGGCTGTGTGAATTTTTTGAAAGGTTGCACGGCTGACACAGAGAGTATTGATGCTTCTTTTTCAGAGAAGGTTTGTGTCCAGGCTTGGCCTTGGGTACCACCTTGAGATTGGCCAAGTGGACTGGTGCGTGTGTTTCTCCAGGTACTGCTGCCACCAGCCACTGTCATTAGGTTTTTTTTTCTTCTCCTTGAGAGTTGTGAGGAAAGGGAAAATAAAAAGCATCCGAATGGAGAATAGGCTGCATAGGGAGCAGAGTGATGGAGACTGTACCATGAAGGAGAGGAGGGAGAAGTGTTGCAGAGGTTTTTATATGGAAGAAATGTAGTGCACAAGAAGTTTGGGCTTGGAAGGGGAGAGGGAGAAAGAGGGATAGAAGGAGTTTCCTGAATGGGCTGTGAGCTCAGAGAGCAGAAAAGCAGAAACATGTTCAATCCTAACAGAAATTTGTGCCAAAACCTCATTCCACCCTACCTTTATACAGAACCTTAAACGACAACATTTGGCTTCAATTTTTTTTTTTTTTTTTTAAATGTT